AAAAAATATGTTTTATTTTTCCAACGAGTCTACCGATTTCGATGAAACTCCGTTCAAAAAATATGTTTTATGTTTTGAACGGAATGCGATTTGAAAATTCTATAAACGTTTTGTTTATTAGCAGCGCTATAAAAAGTGACTATACGCATTTTCATCAAAATTGCTTAATGCGTTCAACTAAGTTACTTTCTTGGATTTATCCCTAGATGCAATATTTATTTAAATATCATCATTATTAATTTTACACCTCTGGGTGTGAGTTCTTTCACTACTTTCTTCTGGGATATCTAAAAGCTGAAGAACTTTATCAAATTAATCTGTATTTTTTTTTTATTTTTCAAAGTTGCTTCTATACCACTAACAGTCGGTTTATCTAATTGGGGAATATTATTGTTACTTTTAAGAATGTCTGCCGGTATATACTTTGTTGAATGGTTAAAAATAAATAGTCTCGTTCATAACAAAATAAGTTTGCTTTGGTTCCGGTTTATTTTAATTCTTCATCTTAACTCATATTAAATGTACCTTTACGTTTATTTCATCATACAGGAAAATATAATATTTTTCGCTTTTTTATTTTATGGATGATTATGTTCCTGTTGAATGTATAAAATAAATTTTTTATTTATTTTTTTATTCTTTATTTACAATTTTACGCCATAATTTCATTTATAATTTCCGGGAATGAAAAATAAAATCGGGAATAATTACTCTCTTGTAATGTATAGAAGTTATAATAGGTGTATTTAAAATAAAAACCAGAGATTTTCATAATTATCTATATAAGAATTTTTATTATTCATTATTATGCAGTTTCAAATAAATCAATATATTGTATAGCTTTCTAAAAAATGTATTTATGTGGTTGCTGTAAATGCACCATGACATATACCAGTGGCGGTCAATGCATCTATCGTAATCGAGCAAGAACCGATTTTTGGCCGATAGCGACAAATTGAAAAATGATTATTTCGAATGTGAAGCTAGTAAAAAGAGACAAAAAGCTTCATTTCAATGGATCACTTTAGAAGAGTGGATCAGAAGTTTGAATTATATGGCCGCCCCTAATATATACATTTTAACTATCTTGTACTGAGGATATCTTATCCTTATCTTTTTCCTTAATATCCTTGTTTAAATAGTGGAGAACATAATGTAGAACTAAATCGTAACAATATTTATATTCAGTCTGCAACATATAATATATACTAATTATAAATGTAGATTATATAAATAACTTACAATATTCTCAATCAATTGTGGTCTGTGTCTTCTAACTGTCCTAACAGCTTGAAAAATATCGACTTCACCATGTTGTATTACTTGTTCAATGCAAGCGTTAGCAGCGCAATATATTCCACATCTGCTTCTTCCATCACTAATAAGCCAAATATATTATAAACATCTTGAAATCTTACATTAATAGAAATAATTTTGACCATTTAAAAGTTATTGAAACTTGGTATTACTATTTTTAAAATATGGAAAGAAACGATGGTCTATAAACTTACGGAGAAACTACGCAAACTGGTCCATAGTCCGTACGTTGCCTCCATCTTTCCACCATATTCATTAATTCTACAAGAGAATTAGTTGACGTGGGTACTTTGTGTCCCATAGGCCAACAAGTTAATTGGAACAGCTGTACAGTCCTCGGAGGTGCTTTAACACCGGCCATTAATTCTGTTAGAGACACTATCTGCAAATAATTATAAAAAATAAATTAGTGTATATCACAATTATATTTAAAATCAGTTGCTTGGAAATTATAATGTGACTTCCTCAGAACAACTAGTCCTCTCAAATCACGACCGCGACAGAATTATATCCTGCCGTGAATTGCTATTACAAAGTTAATATATTTTTGTTTTGAAACAAACATACACAAATCTGCATCTGCATTAAAAGTTTAGAGTCCGTTTAGAATATATCGATGATAATATAGCCTGTGATATTCTTTGTTTTTGTTTTTTAATATTAATATATAACAAATACAATGAATATAATAATAACATTTAGTGCAATAATGATACAACAATAAATACATATTATTTCTAATTATAAATATGTATATTGTAGTGGCCGACCATTTTATTATCATCTCTTGTATAATTATTAAGTATATCCATTAACCCCTTGACGCACGAATAAATTATAAGTTATGTATCGAAAAAAAAAGTACGCTGATTTTGTAATTTTTTTAGCATTGATTTTTTTCATTTTTTTTTTCAAAGATTTAGCAACGAAAAGGTCCATAAAAATTATTTAATAATAAATGGAAGTGTTTTTCTAAACCCGCGCAATTTTAATCCGTACCAGCGCTATAGTAAAATATCCACTTAAAACCTATTTTAAATAATTATTAAAAATATATATTTACCTTCTTATTTATTCTAAATACCCATGTTTTTATATTTGAGTAGTGAGTGTGCGAGATGTGATCAATTGTAAAAACAGGACCATATTTTTTAGGCGTTCTTCCTTCTGGCCAAAACGGTGGAAAGGATTGCTGTAATTAAATATATTATATATAATAATGATAATATTATAGGTATTTGATGCATAATAAAAATACTCACGGAATTTGTTGGTGGAACACAAAGAATAACGACCGCTGAACATTCGTAATCATATACCAAGGACCAAAATTCTCCACAAGTTGGTTTCAGTGGCCATTCCGTCACTATATATTCTCGAGGTTTTGTATAACCCTATAGTGTAATATATGAATATATCGAACTCATATGATAAAGTATATTTTAACTTACATCTACAAATACTGCATTTATATAATCCGTATAATTATTACCTTGAAATGAAGTCAAGTATGGTCGAAAGTTGTCAGCTAGATTAAGAAATGATTTAAGAAACGTAATATCTAAAAGCTATTAGTTTTTATTGTTACTTACGAGGGACGACAAGTACGTCACGATTTTTCTTTCTATTATCCCCTCGATGGCCTCCAGCACAATCGCCAATTGTAAATCGCGGAGTTTGTTTACATATTAACATATATTCTCTTTGATACTCGTTTATTTTAGTTACTATATTCTTTTGGGATTTTTGCTTAAGCCTTTGTGATAACTCATTCACTGGAAACCAGGAATTACCGCAAGTTATATACTCCTCAAGAGTATCGTAGATGAACTTGTATTGTTCCTAAACAATTACATTCCGATAATATTAAAGAAAAATGGTTTGATACGATACATACGACATCTTCGACAAGACCACGACGTGATTGCCTTAATTTCTTCAAATATCCAAATACGTCAAAAGTGTCTTCTTCCTCTCCAAATTCTAAATTTCCATCAATAGCTAAATAAACTCCCGATCGTCCACCGCCATCACTGTGATATGTTGAAAGGTTAGTAGTATTCTATTATAGTAGTTGCTATTCAATACTCACTTGCAATGTACAACCATTGGCCCCGCTTCATTGCTCTTAATTCTGTGGCCAACTACTGCTCTCACACGTCTCCTAAATTCTAGCAGGGCATTTGCAAAAGGACACGAATGACTATGCCACTCAGTGAAATGGAATTGTAGAATAAATCGTTCCTCCGTTATAACCTATTATTGAAAAAACATATATTTCAAAGGCGACAAATAATAAACATAGCGAAAAGTCGACAGTGTTCGTAAATATATGCAATAAATTGTAGATTTTCTTAAGATTACATAAGGTGAAGTAATTATAATATATTATTATCGGTACTGTCAAATATCTCGAAGATACGTTTTTTTATTATGTTATTGTGTTATGTTACTTACATTATCTAAATCCTTCTTATATAAGCGAAAAGTACGTATATGAAAATTTGCTAGCTCCTCTTCCTGAACAACGCCGATAGTGATTCCACCATAAGTTTCCTCCAATTCCATATTAGCAGGCCAGTATTGCACGCACATAACTTTGATAAAATCAAAAGTCTTTGTAAGCATTACAATACAACTTGCCTTCTCTTGCCAAACCATTCTCCAAAAGTCGGTGACAGTTTCCTCCGTTGGTCCTTGCGTAACAATATAAGCATTTGGTTTAAGTAAACTCTGTAAACAAAAATATATAATTAAAAGAAATACTCCCTTTGTCCGAAAATATGGTATACATTTTAAATTACCTAGAGTTTCAAAAGCAAGTGTCAATACTCATTATATTGGTATTGTTTATATTGATTTATATTGACAGTAGTTGCTTTTAAATTAAGATGGAATTTCAAAACCAAAAATTAGTTTTTTAAGAAAAATATAATAGTCACTGCTGTAATTTCAAAATGGAAAATTTTAACTCAAATAACGTGAATTTACAAAGAAGAGATGCCAAATCGAAGCAATTGACTAATGAACAACATAATGGTATCTTGCAACAGTTATTACAGTATATGAAGAACAAAAAAAATAGAACACGGTTCTACTTATGGTTGGAATATTCAATTTAAGTCACAACCACCACTGATTAAAACATTCTCGATTTGGGTTTTTTTTTAACTCTCTTTAATCACTGAATGTGTATAATGTGCATTTTATAAATTAGAGAGAAATACTCAATTATGTTAGCAGGAGGGGGGAAATTCCTATAAATTTCCTCATTACTCAAACTTCTTAGTAAAAGTCGATTAACTGAAAAGTATACAGAATGTATAGAATCGTTCAATAAGACTAAATCTCACTTTAACTAAATTTGAATTATACTAACATTATTTGTATTTAATTATATAGTGATAATGAAATTAATTTAATGTTTTTTAAATTTATTTTTTTCGCAAATGTTCGCAAATTTTCGGACAAAAAAAAAATAAAATTTATACCATATTTTCGGACAGAGGGAGTAGTTTGTTTGAAATGTGTGAAAACCGCGTAAAAAAATCTCAGAATTAGTACAAATCAAATTAATTAATACCACATTCTATAAAAATCAAATTAATGTCAAAAAATTCTTTTCAGCTAATTAAGTTTTACAATATAGAAACAGCGTTATAAGAGAACCTAGTTATGGGAGATCTGTCGGAAATTTAGTTCCGCGTTGTATAGAATTATGAGACTATTGTTTTATAGGACAATTTAAGTATAATAAAATATATAAATATCAAGTAATAGTACCACTTGTAAACATTAACATTATAATAAAATAAAGTTTGAAAATATTAAAACACTTACATCCACATAAGAAGCATTTATATAATCAGAGTCATGTTCACCCTCTATTGTTTCAAGAACAACACGATTATAGTCATCTAAAATAAAAATATGAATATAATAGTAAATTTTATTGTAATCGCCTTGTATAACAGATATATACTCACACGGAATGCATCTTTGATTCTGATTCTTTTCCAAATTCGCTTTTTTTGTACCATGCCTGCATGAGTGCTGTTCCACTTTCACTGCAATCTACAATAAAAAAATAGCATTTATTTTTTAATATAAGGAATGACTATTTAAAAGATGTAATTTATTTGATGAAATTATTAATGGATACTGGCTATTAATACTAGCCAAGATTTTAATTTACCTGTACATTACGAATAACTTTAGAGTCTAGATCTGCAAAGGCGAATAAAATTCTAAAAAAAAAGCATTCAAATTTGCAGTATGCAAAAAAAATACTTAACAGCATAAAAATAAGATTTTCCTTTTGGCAACCCTTTAAATCGCTCACCGCATGCGCGGAGTATGTTCATCCTACGACTTTCGTGTATTACTTTTTCAGCACGACTGATCCAAAATGCTAGTCAATAAATGTATGTTACATATGCAAGATAAAAGCGGGTGGCATTATTATTTCACACAAACAATTTTTATCGGAAGATCTATGAGTACAATGAATATTAAAACTAATTTTACAATTAAAATGAAGTTTTGTTAATTTTCCTTAACTTAATATAATAGTAATGCATACCTGAAATTCAAGTTTGTAGAGGACGGGAAATTTGCGCCTACGATCACAGAATTTAACATAATTCTTCAACTCGATAGGTTTTTCTATAATTGTTGTTAATGTAGTTCCATTTTCATCTGAAATTAATACAAATATCTACAACATAGAGCAGCTTAGTTTATTTAATAATGTTTTATGGTTGTGGTTTAATCTTGTAACTATCAATAGATATGTCTAGACTTTTGATAGTCCACTAAAGTTTAATATCTATTTAACTCTTTATTTGGATATAAAGATATTATTTTAGATTATAGTGTATGTATAAAATCAGAAATATTATTCACTAATTATACATTCCATCCCAGCGATCGACCAACAGTACTAGCAACCTTGCAGCATTTATTTAATTTATTCTGCCTAAAAATAAATATTACATATGTCTGTTGTACATAAATCAATATTGAATATACTTCCTGAAAGTATTACATTTCAGGAATCCGATTCGATTTGTTTAAATTTTTGATAATCGCCAAACCGTTTATTAAAACTATACCGATATCGAAATTATTCAACCAAATGAATAAAATGATTTCAGTTTGCGAACTTTTCCTTTATTTAACTTACACAATTTCTACCGTCAGGGTAGAAAAACATTTTTAATGACAACACAAATTTAATACGTAAATCTAAACAAATATTTTCTCGTAAGAAATTATGCTACAATTTGTTTGTTTGGTACAATATTAAATGGCATAGCGACATAATAAGAAAAATATAGTCATGCTTATTATTGTAATGTCCAATCATTATTTACTCGTTATATTTATAATAATTTTAATTGTATATCAGGATGTCAACGAGAATTTAATATAATAAATTGTAATGCAATTTTGGCTACTTTTCCCAGGTTTTGTTTAGTTCCTTAGTACGATAAAATTGCTGTTGCCTCTTGTACAAAACTTTAACGTTGTCTGTATAAAAACTATGTTTAGCATCATTTTAATGGTTAACAAATGTGGAATTTCTTTAATAATAAACGTTAAAATCTAAACATTAATAAAATAATATCAGATATATCAAAATAATCAAATAATTCATCTCTGTTTTCTTTTGTTTAAAAAACATAGATCTCCACAAGGACTCCCAAACTAATAACAATGGTAAATAATTTTGTAAATCTATGTTCTTGAGAAAGGGTCATCAACCTTTTCATACATATCACCACTTTTATATCTTTACTGATGAGTATTCAATAAATGGGCGACCTTCTGAACTGAGCTAATAATAATTTATTACATCAATATTTTTGCAACTGTTTTATTTTATTTATATATAGTTGTATTATATGTACTCTATAAAATATTTTCAATAAATCTCTTGTACTTGTCTACCAAAAATAAAATTTAATCAATTATATATTTTCCATTTTGTCAGATGATCTTCATAGAACTGGTCCTTATCAGCAAAAAAAAAACTGAAGAAAGCGCGAAGCAAAAGTTTTGCAAACTTCGAATTAAATTGTAATCTGATGGTGCAGAGTCAGGGCTATATGGAGGGTGCGGCAAGATTGAGAAATAAATCATGTTGCAATAATTCTTTTAAAACACGAGTTTCATAAGTTGAATTGAACGTTTGGTTCATTGGATGCAGCTCAAATACAGAAGGTGTTTAATCCCACCAAAATGATATCATGATATTTTTTATGCAATTTAGCTTTCGATCCGATTTGTGTTGGTTCATCCTGATTACATGATCCAATCGTTTTCAATTGATGTTATTGCAGATAATCCATTTTTCATTACCAGTAATGATTCATTTCAAAAAGTGACGATTTAATTGCGATTTAAGTGAATATTTTTCAATGTATGCTAATATCGAGTTTAATAACGAATTCAAGGTATTTAAGTGATTTTCAGTTGCTGTAGTTATATAACGATCCGATTCAATTAATCGTTTGATATGGTCATCATAATCTTCATTGGGTCGATCAGAACCTTGGTTATCTTTGAGTAAAAAAGTCCAGAAGGGACTTTTTTAAACCAATTGTGACACGTACATTCTGTTATACAATCAACATCATAAACTTCACATATTTCTTTGTGGGCATTAGCAGATTTCTTGCCATTACGAAAATAAAAAAGTCAAATATGTCTAAAGTATTCGTTTTTATACTCTTGTTAAAATTGACCCTAATCTAACTGCAATCATAATTACGTGCAATTATAATATGTAGAGGAAACTAAAAGGACACAAGTCCTTCAAAACAAACAACAATATCTATTTGTGAAAACCAAAATTACTCCCTTGGAAACCAAATACAATAAGCTACAGATAACACATCTTCGTTTTCTACATATTTTTTTTATGAGGTAATTATTCTATAAGTTAAAACGAATTTTATACATTTCTTTTATTATAAGTTTGAATGTCCACTAATAGGCCATATAAAGTTTTCAATGCCGCCCAATTGAAGTTTTCATCAGCATTTGAGTCGATGAAAACACGACTGAAATGCGCATCGGTTAAATTACCAGTTGATATGAAACAATATACAATATGAAATAAGATACTAAAATATTTTGAATAAGTTCTTCGTTTATTCTTTTTTTAAGTGTGGCCTACCTAAGCTCAATAATAATTTTGGCCCATCACACGATTTGGGTTGGGCATCACTGGTCTAGAGTCTAGACCACTTGTATATCATATTACTTTAATTTCATAAAATGTATGTAATAATAGATGATGTTTATGGTCATTGTATTGAATCGTTGAAAATATACTACATTGAATTTTGTTAAAATATAAAAAATGCTACGAGTATAAATTAATACTTACTACATGAAAGTAAACCACTGTTCAGCATTGATAGTTTGATGGTACTGGGAATATTGACCAGTGAATTCGTGGCACTAAGATGTCGACGTTTTCTAGGTTTCTTATCACTTTCTCCATGACGAGGTGTAGACCGTGATCTCTGTTTTTTCCTCGAACTACTTGATGTGCTTTGTTTGGTTTTGGAGTCTGATGCACTCATTGTGTACTTCAATTTTCCTTAGATGTGGCCACAAATTAATTCCTCATAACGAATAACACTTTCAAGTATTATTTGCAATCTGAAACTTACAATATATACATATTAAATAATAACAAGTATATAAGTCTATTTTGTAGTTATAACATTAGTTAATTGTAACGACCAAAATAAGATTTTATATATAGATGAGCAATTCATTGAAAAACACACTACTTTTTACTGAAAACGATGAAGAATTCAATGTCTAGCTGCTTCGTACAAATCTGCAGCTCCCATTTCCTACAAACTCCTATACAAACAAAACATCAAAGTACAAACATTTTATACTACATTTGTTTGTTTGCTTATATTGGGTTGTTCGGAAAGTAATTTTATATTTTCCCACAAACCAGCCAACTTCATTCCAAACAATATTTTTTATTTGCAAAAAGTTAAGATTAAGATAAACATATTGGCAAACCACAAAAGGAGAAATTACCATGAATTTGTCGAATTTGACGGTCGACTTGGTTCCGTTTTGTTATTTTTACTGTTACACCAAAGAACAAGTGCACAATATGGTTTACTTTGTTTATTCAAAATAAAACTAACTACAATTATGAAATAAACGTAATTACCTTCCGAACAAACCAATATATACACCAACTAAAAATTGTTATTTTATATTAGATTTAATAAATACATTTGACAAATCATTAATTTAGTATTGTTCTTTAAAATTTTGCTCACAATAGTTAAATATAATCAAATGCTTTTACAAATAGTGAAGTACATCAATATTTAAATAAATTTTATTTGTGATTTAATAGTAACAGACATTTTTTATTTATTTCCCGTAAAGTTTTTCGTTTTTTTTTTAAATGAGGATCTGTACAACGCTCTGCTGCAATAAAGTTTTTAGAGACATGATGATGTTTTACTAACCAATTTAATTACTTCAGACATTGCTTATTTCACATATTTATTTAAATATCAGTGATTCCAGTTTCAATGAAGTTGAAATATTTTATATAAATAATCTATTCAATAGGGACAAACGAAATGTTCAATGATAAAAACATTAATAAGCATATTTTATAATGTAATTTGTCTAGCTTTTTTATTTAGAAACTCCCTCTATTCCAAAATATGTGTTATTAAGTGTTACCCGCGGTTATTTCGGCCGCAATGATTTCATCAATACTAGACGGGGAATTTTTGTATTGCAATGATTGAATGGTATTAACAAACCCAAATCTAGGACATTGAAATAGGGATTATATAATGTTTGACAAATCATACTTATGTTCCACCTATTTTCAGTGTAAGCGCGAATAACTTCCTCATCATCAACGCTGCAATGTGGTTTAGCATTATCTTGCTGGATTTTGATTGGCATGGTTCTACTACCAATAAGCAATTTAAATCTTATTACAGGAATTAATTTCTTTGTAATTGTTCGAGTATAGACTTTTTGGCTAGTTTTTTCAATGACGACCATAATAATTAATCAAATCAATTTGTCAGCGGGTAAAAACCATACTAACAATTGTTAAAAAAACATTTACTAGTTCACTAAAAAAACTATTTTGACAATAATTAACTGATAAATTTAATTTCATTATTTCAATAAACCATTAAAAAAAACTAAAATCGTACACTTATTTTGGAACGAAGGGATACGCTTGCAATATAGATTATATTTTTTTTATGTCGTGTAATTTTATTCACAATATGTTCATCAATGTGAAAATTGAGTAAATTTAATATCGCGGTTGACATTAGGTAGGTAATCTTTCCCGGTGGATAGTTAACATAATGATGTTTTTTTTTTGTTAATTTGTAGGTTGGCTGTGGTAGGTTAACTTCAGTAGTATATTGATGCTCTGCGATTTCACTATTTCACTGAGAATCTGCTGTAACCTTAACACTGTCATTATCCATTGACTTGGCTGAAGGCCCATATGCTGAATCTCACTCATTTCACTATCCATTTGTGATCCACGTTCATCATAGGGCGACTTAACCATTCGGTTATTAGTCGCCCCTTATTGATAATATAAACGTGTTTGTCTTTTGCAACATAAAAACAAAGGTACGTTTTTAAAATTTTACTATTTCCTAATATTTTAAAAGTGTATTTTAAAAGTGTTGATATTGCTAAAATGTTCAAAATCTTCCATTGTTTAATATTTGAAATTTAACATACAAATGTACATACACCGAATAAACATCGCCATATTGTTTAAACGTAATATCTTGCCGCTCACCTTGGCTTAACTAGATTAGGGGTACACAGAGAGGATTGGGCGTAGAAAGGTCACTTCGTTCTTGTGCTTGATCTGGAAGTGCCTCCCAGTCAAGTACGATTTGAATATGACGTAATATTCATGTGGGAGACACTTTTTGATTTTATATAGCAATCCTCCATACCATACTCGGTCGAACGCATGTGAGATGTCGAGGAAATCCTCAGAGCAGTACCTCTTCTCCTCAAGACTTTTACCAATCACATCCACCACACGATGTACCTGTTCCACAGTGCCATGTCGTTCACGAATTCCGAACTGATGTTCCGGAATGAGATGACTATCCAATAGCCAGTGCTTCAGTCTTCGCAGCAACAGCTTCTCGAACAGTTTAGACAGTACCGGCAGGAGGCTGATGGGTCTATATGAAGACGCCGCGTCCGTTGGTTTTCCAGGTTTGGCGATTTTTTTAGCTTTAACTCTAGTATAGCTAGCTTAATATGGAGACCCCAGAAATTCCATTATCTCGTTTTCCTCTTCCCCTGCAAGTCCTGCCGGGAAAGGTTGAAACACGTTTGTCAGATGGTCAAAAAACACCTCCGCCTTCTCTTTGTCACTCCTCGACCAACTACCACCCGGTTGTCGAAGAGGTGACTCTCTCTGTTTCGGTTGTTTCGTATGCTTGGTCGCCTTCCACAATGAGTGTTCGTTAGTTCCAGTAGGAGACAGACTACCAAGATACTCGTGCAGCGCCACCATCCGGATGTTGGGTGGTTTGCCAAATCTTCCTCAGCCTTCGTTTCTCTTTTACGAGGTTACGTACGTTTGCTGGATCTTTGTAACTGGTTTAGATGGATGATGGCGAAGGTGAAGGTGTAGAGCTCCATGCAGCTGTTCGCATTCTAGTCTCCAGCAGCAATGAAGCGACTACCCAGAATGTCGAAGAACTCAACAAATTGCTCAAGTTTGTTGTTGTGATGCGGTGAGCAGTATATTGATGATATGGTAATTGCATCTCTCCAATTCTCTACTACGATGCTTGTTGCCTGCAAGTGCTCTTCCAGAAAGTTCGGCAATGGGTAGTGCTTAATGCTGCTTCTTATTATCAGGGTCGTTCCTGCATGTGCAGCACCATCAGGATGATCCGTCGCATATACCGTATAATTTGGGATAATGACATGGTTTTTATCGGTGAATCGAGTTTCAGAAACCAAAATGACATCCAAGCTATAGGTTTTTATAAACCATATGAGCTCTTGCATATGCTGTGTCAAGCCATTGGCGTTCCAGGCTGATATTTTCAATTGTTGGTTAATCATTTCAGCTTCTTGACAAGTTTAGTGATGAGAGCGAACATAGTGTCCATCCGTCCCATAAGTTGAAACATCATACTATATAGCTTCTCTGATTGGTTGGATGCGGATGGCTGTACATCATGTACGGGTATAGCTACGACTTGGTTTTTCGCTGTTTGAGCATATGATTTCCCTGGTCTCGTTGGGTTAGCGGGTGTAGTTGCTGGAGTTAACGGAATTTGTTGTTGTTTGGGTCTAGGTGAGGGAAATGTCCGCTCTTTGATCTCCTTGTAAACCGTACACCCTTTATAGTTCGCTGGGTGGTTGCCTTCGTACAGTACACATTTTGGTAGTGGGTCTGGTGATTTGCTGCACTCAGCTGAAAAATGCTTTTGCCCGCATTTCACGCAGCGCGGTTGCTTGGAACAGTAGTTCTTTGTGTGTCCATAGCATTGGCACCGAAGGCACTGCGGTACTTCCCTTCTCTAAATAGGTGCTTCGAAGGATATTTTTTGATGCAGCAGAAACACAACATTATATATGTCCTTGTTTTCTGCCTGCTTCAGCTCCACAAAGAACATGGGAAGTTGTTTGCATGGGTCCTTGCTACTCCTTATATTACTGACATTCCGTACAGTATGGCCAAAAGACTTAATTTCCTCCTTTATGTCCTCGGTATTGCATAAGGAATGCATACCTCACAACACAACCCTAAAGAAGCGTTCAGTTTTTTTCTGGAAGGAGTGGCATGGGATGTGTTTGTCTTTGATTAGCGCGTTAATCCTTTCGAATTCATTGATACCATTCGCTTGTACCTTCACCAGTTCCTTCCCGACCATTTTGAGCGTGTATGCGTTCGTCCCGACGGTATCTAAGTCCTTGATTAATTTATTAATGTCGTCCACGTCTGGGACATATTAGTTGGTGTGACTTTCGGCTGGGACTCTTCCGAGCCGTTTGGCAGACTGGCTAAAATAGAATACGGGTTATTTACCACTAGTCCCGTTGGCTCATTACCGCTATTTTTTTCTGCTGTTGCTGCTGCTGCTGTTGTTGTTGTTGTTGCTGCTACTACGGTTGTTGTTGTTGTTGTTGCAAAAGCAATGAACCTTGTTCGTTAAGCAATTCTTGTTGTTGCTTAATCACGTTTTCTAAGCTGGCTATTTTTGCTCTGTATTTTGCTCAGCATGTATTCTGCTGCTTGTACTGCAACTCTGTGCACTCATTTGCTTTGCCTGGATTTGCCGCATGTTTGCTTTTTTGCTCCCCTGAATTGAGATGTTTATCTCTGTTTTTTTTTTCTTGGATCTCTTCCTTTTTTCTCCTGGCTAGGGTGGAACGTGCTCTTCATAGTCCGAAGAACCTTCGTCCGCCATTCTGGTTGGCCCTACTAGCACTATTACTGATTGTTGATTGTTCTCACTCACTATTGTTTGTTCACAACTGTACAGGAATACCGACTACCACAATTATTTAGAAAAAAACCTAAGACGGAGCACCGAACACACGTTTTATCACTTCAGCGACTTAAACTGAACTCATATGTAATATATAATATATAAAGCGAATATTTATTTATTTATTAATATCAAAACATGAAAGTTTTTGAAAATGTAGACATATGAACGCTTTTAAAATTATTGGAATATTATAGAAATATTTGCAAATGAAAAGGTTTAAACTTCTTTATGTTTTTATATTATATCTATTTATATATAGTTGGATAATATACAATAAATTTTGATCAGGTACTATTTTTTAACTATGCTTTTAGTAAAATTGAACCAGTTTTATTAAAAAAAAATAAGTTTTATTTTTCATTCTTGTGTGTATAATATGCGCCTATATTATACACTTATTAGAAGCATTGTTAATGGTTCCTTGCATCAATTTCTATCGATCACAGTCGTTTCCAAACTCTATGTATTTCCGTCGCCGTATAAAAATAAATAAAAAGACAAAAAAAAATAATTAAAAACATATATACCATTTTAAATAACTTTTCGCCATATCTCATGCAATTTAAAAATTCCATTCTTCCAGAATCTCTTCCTAAGTAAAATAAAACTTCTCATGGTAAGTTTGTAAAAATAAGTAAAAATCTTTATTGTGAACAATCCACTTTTTTCATTGTGTCTGAACAATAAATCGTAAATTTTTGTTCACCCAAATATGACTGCCATCATTCTTGTCGTACATCATCAGTTATTTTGAATTAACCTCTTAATCTCGTCATCTTCAATCATCAAACACGCATGTCAGCTTATAGCATCTTTTCCATATATTTTAGTTTGTGTTGCATTCTTTCCTATTATGAAATTAAAAAAAAACATAAAACTCCGAAAATGCTTCTGCTGCATGTTTTTGTTAAACAAATATTTAGGGAGTCGCACGCAGTGGATCGATAAAATCAATCCTTTTTTAATAATGAAAAGAGCCTCAATTACTCATATTAACATAAACGTCATCAAATAAATCGTTCGTCATTGAATAAAAATATAATCAACGCGTATATATCATGTCTTCAGAAGCTTCTCGATTATAGGATAACAATTGTGACTGGAGTTTGGCGCTGCTAAATGTAGTACTTAAATACAAAAAAAAAATTACCCATTGAATGAAATAAAGTGAAGACCAAATCAATTTCCTAAATTTTCTATTTACTTGCAGTAGACCAATATATTTTAAATGGTGGTAATTTGGAAACCCCGGAATTAATTCATACAAAAATAATTTGTGTCATAGAAAATTTGCATATTACCTAACAATTACATACTTTTAATTCTTCTAGTTACACTAACATTGGTAGCAAGTGCATATTTTAAAGTAGGAATGAACTAAATGTGCTAAACCTGACCAAAGCACGATTTTATTTGCTATAAAAAATGTTATAATATCTATGTATTCATATGCAAAAACACTTTTTTAATCATTTCCAAATGTATTGAGATGTATTTATTGACACAATTTTATTGCTTATCTTATAAAACCAGATAAATGGCATTTTACTGTATGACAAAAGTTTTTCCGTCTTAAAAAAATATAATTTCCAGTACATATTTTTGACTTACAAATATATACTGGAAATATTTATATATAATAAGAATAATGTTTATTAAAACGGTCATATAATACCAAATAAAATTTAATTCCTATAACAAAAAAAACTAATAATTGTTAGTAGAACAATAAAATTATATTTTAAAATTCAAACCCTATTGATTTCTAAATACAAATCCATCTCTTATTAATGCTGATGATTAAATTCAATAATATCATGTGGCTTCTGACTAAAACCAGCATCCGTTCGAAAAGTAAACAAAATATTTATTTCGGGAACTATACACATTCCAAACAACCTTGCATTTTAAACACAGCATCAGCAGCAGCCTTTTAACAGATTTGGGTCAAGATTTTTGGTCAAGTGCATCTGTCGTTCTCATATAAGATATAGTTAATTATGTAATATTATGAAAAAACGTATCTGTCAAAAATAACTTGAAAGTTATTATTTGTTTATAAAGTAATTAAATATTAGTAGTATCATACAACTACAGATGAAACTTAATTTGGAATTTAAATATTACATTACAGTGTTTAATAGAAAAGGTTTCACACGTAATAAACTACACAGTATTAATGATTATTATTGTCTGTAGTCGTGTACCGAAATAAACATAAATTGGCTACTCATACCTCTCTATATATACAGCGTCGTGTATATTTATAATATTAAACACATTCACAAATATTCCATGATTACTTCAACTATTCAATTGAATAAAGTCTCAGACTCGCGCCAATTCCTCGGAAGTTCAACCTTGTCGCAAAAAGAAAATACGGTGAGTAAAAAAAAAGAAGGTGAATATAACTCGATCTAAAATTACAGCGAACGTGTACGGTGTATTTTTTTTCTTAAAATACATTTTATTTTTAAGTGGACTAACAAATTCTTGAAATTATTTTAAATAGAGAAAAACAAAATATGTATGCAATTAATTCAATTTACGCACAACTGGGTTTTCATCTTACCTGATTGATACTGATTATTTATGCAGGTAGCTGGAAAGTCTAACGTGATAACAAAAAGAAAGCGATATTCGGGTGTGTTACCAAAATATCATAAACACTATGGTCGCGACTAAACTGCGAGTATCTGCGTCGAGTTACGGGATTTTCGCGAATAAACATGGCATACTGGAGCCGAAGCGACGCCGGGCGTCGCCTGCGTAGATGGGAGGCGTCTCTAAAATCAGCTGTCCCATTTTAGATCAAAATCTCAGAATAAAGGATACATTATTTCATTTTAACATCATACAATTACGTAACTATTGCACTATTTATTTCTTTTTTAATCACAATTCTTATTTATACATTAATAATATATTTCTTATATATTTTTTTTAGCATTTATAACATATTTATATTCTTAAAATTAGTTTTTAATAGGTTGATTTGCTTCATTTTAATTTTAAAAATCATATAATTAAAACTATAAGTTTTATAACGCCATCTATAGTATAATACAATAATATTATTTTCAATACTTATTACTGCCCACAAATGGTGCATATCGGCCCTTTCGGTTAAGGATATTCCAATTAAGTATTTAGTTTTAAGTAAACTGGAAATATCCACAATACTTATAAATAAATTAACCATATTTCTTAAATATCCATCAGATGTATGGACATTAATTGCATTAATAGGAAGACCCATTAATTAAAGTAATTGTAAAGGCCATCGACCTGTCACGTTTATTTAGATCGTTAAAAATAACTTGAGCTATGCAATACAGATCAGTTACAGGAAAATGATTGATCATAATTGGATGTTCTTTACACCTTATAATGTGCAAAGTTAAATTTACTAGTGGTACTTCTATCACGAAACACAAGTTTATCCACGTTAATTTAGATGAAAAAATAAATAGTGTCCCCTGTCCTACCGGTTTTTAAAATGTGCCATAGGATACAAAAAGGCAATCTCTGATCAGTATCAAAAAATCAGATACGAAGATGACAGGTTGAAATCTCATCAAAATAAAAAAAAAATGTTGTCGAGATCGATAAGCGTGCCATAAACATTAATAAATTCTACAAATAATCACTTACCTCACTATTTAAGCCTGCGTTAGTGTTGTGGAAAAACGTTACAGGGTTTGTGTTGTGGTAAAATTTTCCTTGGGGTATGGCCAACGAAAATTTTACTTTGGCGGTCACAAATTTTATTTTTTTTGTAATTTTAATCAGTATTATTACTAAACAAAACAATTCAAATAAATTATAACAAGTGTTTTTTTGTTAAAACATTAAATTAACATAAATATTTGTTTACATGAACATTAACTAAAAATTAAAATTATAGTCCAAAGAATTTTATTAAAAATAAAATATTGTCATATAATATTACATTGTCAAGAAAAGTTACTTTAGTAGTGTTTCAGGGTATGTGATACCCTAACCAACTTTCCCCAATCACTAATGACTATATTGTCTTTATACATGTATTTTTTGTTTTAAAGCATTAAATAGTGACGCTGGAGTATGCGATACCCCATTACACTAACAAAGCGGTAAAGAGTACAAAATATATTTGATTTATTATTATTATTATTATGAATTTAAATGTTTAATTTCGTTTTTGACTGTTACAATAAAGATTATTATATATTTTTCCTTTGAATAAATGAGTAAATTTGAAAGAAAAACTTAATATTGAAAGTGATTATAAGAAATATACGAACATTAATATCTAAAATGAAATAGGAAGGAAAATAAATGAAACATAATATTGGTGAAATCATTCAATTATATTTATATTGATTAATTTCAACTATAATGTAAACAAATATATAAAAAGTATAGATTTTAAATATCAAATATATTATTGGATGCTTCTGGAATTTTATTATAACGTTCTTGAACCTTCGTCCACGTTTCTATTTTGCTCTTGTCAATATCAACAGTAATTCTCTTATTGCCGACTCCCGAAGTCCCAGGATTTGAAATTAATTCAACCTAAATAATAGATGAAATAAGTACAAGTCATTTTAAAATTATAATGAATATTTACAGGTTCCAATCTGCCTTTATTGTCTTTCCCCAATGATTGACCTTCTTTCCAGCCCATTTTTGCCAACATTTTAAATCCTTTATTTTCACTGTCAATAGATCTGCAAGCAAAAATAAAAGTTAAATTATTTAAATAATTGTGCGCGTTTCAATAGTACTCAGTTAACGATGCGACTTTAGTTTTTTCATGAGGATTTTGACTGCCGACAGTATCCCTTCTAACTTGTGCTCTATCTGTATATCCAGAACCAGGATTAATTTTACCCTGTTCCGCTTGAGAAATTCCAAATTTTTTACGCAATTTATTTAATTGCTGCTTATGCAAATCTATTTTATTTATTTGTACAACATCCTGTTGAGTATAATCTAAAAAAAAATCTTAAGAATTTTATAAATACTTAAAAAAAAATGAACCTTTGAATTGCAATAATCCCGGTTCGCAATGTCCGCAAGTTTGGTTTCCTTGATGTACATGACATAGCATCACAACACTGCCTACTTGCAAACGACTTCCGTGTGGTACTTGCAAAGTATCGCTTTCCATTTTGCTCGGCGATATCCGTTTTCCGTTCAAATATGTGCCATTACGAGATCCCAAATCCGATATCAAATATGTATTGTTTTCGCGATCAAAACTGAATCTAAGATGATGTTTACTTGTATTTATGTCTGGTATCAAGATAGCGTGCGAGTCGCCTTCCCTTCCTAAGGTACCGCCTTCATAAGTTAAAATGTGAAGTGATCCTTGCTTCAAAGATTCTACATTACTTTCTTCAATAATAATTCGCATGCATGGAGGCCATTGCTTTGCATAATCTGCAAAAAAGAATTAAATACAATAATTATTATTACTCTAAATGCAAACAGAAATGAACGTCTCCAATATTGAACATTTTGTTGGTTGCTTTTACCAATATCACTGTTGCTATTTTCATCATCACTCAACACTACAAGACTACCATCTGAGCATTCTCCTTCTTCAACTTCTTGATCACTGCCTTTGACTCTGCATGTTCTCTTTGCCTGCAAATAACATTTCTTTTACTCATGCGGAAGTACATACCAAGTACATGTTGACTAATGGCCAACAGATTCATTTCAGTGAAGGACTGTGTTAGACATTCCATATTACAAGTAGAATTTTTGATTACCTAAAATAATATTATTTATATGTACCAAATCTTATACTTTCAATATTTCCTTACATGTGATATATCCTGATTCTTACGCTTCTCCCTAGATTTCAATATTTTAGGATCACGTTCAATACTGATGTTTTGCACCACTTGTGAATGGAAATCATAAGTTTTTGTATCCTGATTATATTTTAAATATGTCCCTGAGTTACCATCATAATATAAACCATATTCCTTAAAATAATGAAACCCCATTAATATATTAAACAACAACAGATTTACAAAATCTTACTGCATTATAGTAATAACCAGAATTATAATCATAATACATTCCTGATGTTTCTTCATATACAAAACCTGACTTTTGCAAGGCCTGTTGGGCAGCTTCAGTTATTTCCTCTGCAATAGATTTATTTGTTGCCTCATCACAGTCCGTCTGTGTATACATATGCTTTAATTTTATTTTCTGTAAGTAAATAAGTTGAATATATTAAGGCATTTATTAATTTTATATTGTCAATCAACTTACATCTTTAGTTTTCCCCAGAGACAATTTTTTTTTCAATCTAACAAGTTTTCTTTTCTGCTTTTCTATACATGCCTGAAGTTTAGCAACAAGTTCCAACACTTCAGGTAAGTCCTTTATCTGATCAAATACAATACTACTAATATCATATTTACTTTTTCTGGTGGCTTTATTTTCATTGCAGCTGGTTTCACTAATTCTCATATTATTACTTTTAGCAGTCATCATAATCTTTAGAACAATTTATTTGTATTGCAAAACCAACTTAAGTCTTACTCAAACTAATTAGATTGGAGTAATAGGCTTTTATAGGTTAAGAAAATCTTATATGGATCTAAAATGTTGACACTACAAAATAATACAATACAATGACATTCGTCCTTTTATAATTGTATTTTGGCTTTTATAATCCTCACTTATTATGCCCCCATTTTTTTGTTCTTATCACCACTGATCACTTATCACTTCTATTTTTCTAGGCTGGAATTGGCTGGAATCGTGTGGAAGTATGCAACTCAGCAAGCAATTTCAGTGCATTCAAATCACCTAGGTCTTACACAGTTCAAATAAATACAGAAAAGTGACTACAATCTGACATATAGGTCCAAAGTTCGAATCTTCCTAGTATCTAAAATAAAAAAAGTAAGCATCAATTATATAAATATCACATAGACCAGAACCGAAAATATGTGCGCCTTATAACTTAACAATATTAAAAAAAAGCCACCCTTTCGATGCTTATCGACCACTCAATGGATTTTTATTATTGGTGATATTTAAACCTGTCACCTTTTGTATCAGATTTTATGAAAAAAATATTACTTTATAAATGTATTTTTATTATCTATCTCAAATCGTGTTTTACATTGTGCAGCACAAATTTAAATATGTAGTTATTATTAACAGCAATAGAGGTCGCTTTGGAAGGTTTGGTAAACAGATTTCTCATATGACTTGGTCCCCTGGGTATGGTTATGTTTAGAAAATATTTAAATAAATAGTTTAAGATAATTATATATATTTAATTGATTTCACAAATGAACTGATTGTATTGATTGATAATATTTTATTAAAATTACTTTCGAGGTTAGTCGGAATTCAGAGCCAGAACCGCCCGTTGTCAATTTGTGGAGGGGGTATTTCTTCGACTCATGCGGTATGAATTGAGGATGGCTTAAATTAGCCGACGGACAATTTTAGGTAGTAGGAGTAATTTTTAAGTGATAGACTTTGTCGAGAGAAACTCAGTTCCACGCAGTTCTAGTTTCAAAACGAATCAACATTGTGCGGTGCAAATATTAAATAACAGCTAAAGTGTGTGTTTTTTTGTTACTTTGAATAACTTACATAACCACAATGAGTACTACTTGGCCAGAAAATGTTGGTATTTTAGCCATGGAAATGATCTTTCCTTCACAGTTTGTGGATCAGACTGAATTGGAATCATTTGATGGTGCATCCGCAGGGAAATACACTGTAGGGTTAGGTCAAGCCCGAATGGGATTCTGTTCAGATGTAGAGGATATAAATTCATTATGTCTAACTGTTGTACAAAGATTGATGGAGAGGCATAACATTAAATATACAGACATTGGAAGACTGGAAGTTGGCACAGAGACAATAATTGATAAATCCAAAAGTGTTAAAACTGTTTTGATGCAATTGTTTGAACCTCATGGAGCTACTGATATTGAGGGTATTGATACTACAAATGCTTGTTATGGAGGTACAGCTGCTCTATTTAATGCTATTTCCTGGGTGGAATCATCTGCTTGGGATGGTCGTTATGCACTTGTGATTGCTGCAGACATTGCAGTTTATGCTGAAGGATCTGCAAGACCCACTGGAGGATCTGGAGCAGTTGCTATGTTAGTTGGTCCAAATGCACCTCTTATTATGGACAGAGGGTTGAGAGCTACATACATGAAACATGCATATGATTTCTATAAACCAGATTTATCATCAGAATATCCAACAGTTGATGGTAAATTATCTATTCAATGTTATCTAAGTGCCCTTGATAATTGCTATCAATTATATTGTAAGAAAGCGCAAAAGCTAGGTGTTAAAGTTGATTTAAAACATTTTGACGCAATTGTGTTCCATTCGCCTTTCTGCAAATTAGTCCAAAAATCTGTTGGCAGATTAGCCTTAAATGATTTTCTTAATGAGCCATCTAACTATGATAACTTGGAGAATTTTGCGAACATCAAATTAGAAACTTCTTACTTTGATAGGGAAGTGGAGAAAGCTTTTATGAATGAAAGCAAAGTGATATTTGAGACTAAAACAAAGCCTTCTCTCTTGGCTGCTAACCAAGTGGGAAATATGTATACAGCATCCCTCTATGGAGGTCTGGTATCATTACTTGTCAGTAAGGACATCAAGGAGTTGGCAAACAATAAAGTGTGCCTTTTTTCATATGGATCAGGATTAGCGTCGACGATGTTCTCGATAACAATTGTCAAAGATTACTCTCCGAATTCACCTCTGCATAAGCTCGTCTCCAACTTAAACCACATCAAACCGATGCTCGAACAAAGAAAATGTGTATCTCCGGAAAAATTCACATCCATGTTGGCGTTGAGAGAGAAAAATGGCCATAAAGCACCTTACGAACCAATCGGCGATCTTGCAAACTTATTCCCAGGTACATATTACTTGACGAAAGTCGATGAAATGCACCGAAGATTTTATGGAAGGATCCCAACCGCGCTGAATGGATCCGCCTAGCGAATGCAAAAAATTAGAAGTCGGATAGTTTTTACACGTATTAGTGTAATTATATATGGACCAAACAGGTTGTTATTAGGGGTGTGGTGATCGAACTCTAGTTAGCACATTTCAAATGATTATTAAAATAAGCATTGATAATTTCGTTCAGGCAAATTTATATTTATTGTTATTAAAGTCAAGCAATGTATGTAATTTAATTTACTACTATAATTTTATTTAATTTCATCTAATGAATTATTGGAAAAACTTTGAATTGTTAAAAAAAATGTTTTTGGTTCCTTGTATTTATATTTTTTAGAAATTGTTGTTATTTATGGAAGTATCTTTACTTTGTTTTAATAAATTATATATAAATAAATTGATCATAACAAGGTGGAATATTATTTTCTTATATCTCGATTACAGTATGTTGTTAGGAATAAAATATTTTTTATTATTAATCGTTTCTTTTATATTATAAAGTATAATATATGCTTGTCCCTAACAAATTATCCACCTATTTATCTTTTCCACTTAGTGCGGGTACAGTACAAAGCAGTGAAGTCTCTTAAAAATGAAAAAAAAAAATAATCATTTATGACAAGGACAGAAAGACAAAGGTCGATAGACTTTTTGCCAACAAATTGGTTTAATATATTTATATGTTTACCGGTTTGATCGGTAAATATAAGTTCAAATTACATTTACCAACCATTTCCGGGAAATGTATACACTTACCCAATGACGTCGGTAAATGTATATATAAGTAAATAAAATATATAATTTATGTCACGCCAAAAAAAAGCAATCATACAAACACAAAATTATTTTATTTTGAACCTAACACATTGTCTGCTGATGACCTAATCTAACCTTGATATACAACAACTGTATCTCGTATTGTTTATGTTCAACTTTTACCGATATTGGGGGCAACTAATAGCCAAATGGTTAAGTCGCCCTACCCACGATCGAACGTCACCAGTTCGAATCCTGGTCAAAGGCAGGCCCTTTTGTGAGCTCTCTCGGTGCTTGCAGCACTAGGGCCATCGTTCATCACAGATGGACAGTGAAATGAATGAGGTTCAGAATATGGACCTTCAGCCAAGCCGATGGACAATGACTGACAGTGTTAAGGATAGCAGCAGATTCACAGTGAAAGGAAATAGTGGAATCGCAGAGCATCAATATACTATTGAAGTTAACCTACAAGACGACAGCCAACCAACAAATTAAAAATCTAAGCATCATAATGGTAACAATCCACCGGGAAAGATTTCCTACCTAATGGCAACCACGATCTTAAATTTACTCAATGTTCACATTGATGAACAGATTGTAAATAAACTTACACGATCAGTAAACGTACATTTACCGATTGGGTACTTTTACCGTGACATATATAACAAAATATTGTTTTTATAATTTATTTTTATTTTACTAAATAGAAATTTTAAAACCGTACTTGTGAATTCGCGCTATGCGAGGTATTTGTGTAAATGAGTAAATGAGTTCTAAATTAGTTTTATACTTTGAAGTTTGCTCTTGTATCCAATGCAAGTTTTCTAGCACATTATTATTTAGCATAATAAACATATCAAAAGATTTAACCTTTACCTGTGATCAAATTCCAATAGTGTTGTTTTTATTGTGTACTATTGACGACTAATAGCGTTTCTTTTTATAAATGTTGTTTTTAAATAAAGATACACATGATTTTAAAGTAACATCTTTATTCTCATATTTGTCATTAATCTTAAAAAAAATACATTAAACGACTTTCTATAATAACTTTATTGAGTATCGTTTTAATTGAAGTTCTGTAAATTAGATTTTTTTAGTAAATGTTATGGTTTTGTTACATCATCAATGCTGTAGCAATGTAATTTTATCCCAGAAAAATTACTGCTACTTCGTGAATGAAAAACTCATAATAATTAATACTTGAAAGTATTCTTTATTTATTTATAACGTTTTTTATTTGATTAAAATATTATTATTGTCATATTACAATATTACATTTAGAAATCCAGATTGGTGATGGTGATTATCAAAAAAATATATGATTTTACAAATGTTTCTTTGGAATTGGCACAAGCTTTAATAGAACTCCTCCTGTAAATAAAATACATATTACTACGTTTCGACAATTTATATTATATATGTAACTAAAATACCATAATCTAATATCAATAATGTTTATGGCTAAAAGAATATATTGAAATAAGTTTTTTTTAGTAATATCTATTATATAACAAACGTACGATGTGTAAAGACGAGTAGAAAGTAAAATGATTTTATATTGGAAAGTTTACTGTGAGAGTGTGCGAGTATGAACAAAATGTACAACTCTCACTTGCACATACATTAAAATTTACTCGACACACTTACACCGTTCTATTTAGGTGTACACTACAATTAAAAAAAATATTATTTGAATTTTTTTACTTAATTTAAGTTCTGTATAACTTGTAAATTTTTTATTGCTCATTTCATGTTCATGTATTTAAATATTTTATTTTTTAGAATGTATCATAAATGTAATGAAATCAGTCTATAACTTTAAACTTATATATTTATACTCGGTAATTTTCGAAAAAAAAAATAATAACATTGTTAATTAAATAATCGAGCTGATGAGAAATTAAAAAAAAAATATATGTATGTTACTTATTATTTGCGTCGTTATTTGATTAACTAATTGACAGAATATTAAATTGTTATAGGTCATTTCCTTCTATGAATGTATGTTCTGAGGTCTGTACTCATTTAAGCTCAGAATTGAAAAATATTTAATATCGTACAAATTATATAGAAGACTTACCATTTGGTGGAACCCGCGCGGAAATAGAACCGTGTGGAGGTATAGTATACATTTTTTCATTTTCGAAAATATTCTGAAAAAAAAAACATAATTTATAGTCATAATCACTAAGAAAGATGTTTCAAATTGACTCGAATAAAGTAACATCCCTTTTTTTTATGAATATGTTTATTTAACGTTGAAAACTTTCTTCTTTGTTTCAGTTATTAAAGAAACCGTTTCTTACGTGGAACATGGGTCATCGTAGACCAAACTTTCTCCACGGATTATAACACATCCAATACAGGTGTCTTACGTATTTTATATTTCAATCATGCCATCGACCTTCAAAGAATCCTCATTCTAACAGAAAGCAACGCGACATTCCGTATTATTCATCGTGTTTTGATAGCGCAAAAATGTTTATGTTACACCTAAATTTAGTATATCCGTTAAGATATTTTTATAATTGAAAACCTATGGTAGCAAACAGTAATTTTAATAATAAATATTTAATTTTGAGTCACTTTTATGAAAATTAAATAAGAAATTTTTTTATCTAACAATATACATCCGAGTACACCGAATATTTGTTATTGTTATGTTATTTTCTGTTTTTAGTTATTGTAAAGAAAGGGTTTTTTTAAATAAAATCAATGTTTTTTTCTTTTTCAGAGTTTGGGCAAAATGGGTTAAATAGTGGCCAATAAATAAGTTTCTAAAAAAAATCGCATGTCAAGGTTAATATGATTTTCTGTAAATACTTTACTTACGTAAAGACGCTATCTACTTTAAATGTAACAATAGCCGAAATGAATAGAATTTGTTATACTGGTAATATAATAAATAAACATTTGGCATTTTTGATGTTATCAGTAAGTACTCTTTGAAAAAGCACAAATATATGGATGTCAAAGTTGATGCTTTGATAGTTAAGATTAACAATAATGTTATGAATAAGTATAAAAACGCAGTTTACTTGAAAAATATTTTTAGATATATTTGTATTTAAATTAGTTTTTTTTTTATTTCCATTTCTAAACCGTCCTCAATGAATTATCACTTCATTTGAATGTATAAAAAATTGTAATTGATTTAGCACAAATGAGGTCAAATAAAATTGTATAAAGATAATTAATTAGTGATATAGTCACCTGAATCGTGTATCCGTTTGGTGCATCCAAACCAATATCGTCGAGTTTGAAATCAGATAAATATGCGAATCCGTCTGTCCTGTTGCTGACCAAACCGACAGCTTGCGAAAAATATCCGTCGACTTTCGGTAAAATCGGTTTAGTCCATAGGTTCACCTTTTTATTCTAAAAATGAAACGACCGTTGTCTGTTAATGAAACAATATTCAAATATAGGAAGCCAACCGAAGCAATTAGTTTTCCTTGGATTCCCAATGCATCCTGATTTATTCCTATCGCCTCTTTATTCAGCAAAATATTTTTAAATTCTGTTTTCATAGCTCTGAGATCGTTCGACATTATTAATGGGGCTGCCATTATCGACCAGATTGCCATCTGCGCTTTGCTTTGATCTTCGCTTAAACCATAGTTTCCAATGATTAGCTAAAAAAATCTTTGTTTCTCATGGTTCATGATATATTTGAAAAATAATGTTACCATATCAGGATCGTTCCAATGTCCTGGCCCAGAATGCGGAGCCAATCGGTCTTGATGTTTGGTGAACCAATCAATTATGCTACTAACGCTGGACCAAGAATCATCGATGTCGTCCCAGTTTCTCCATAAGTTGCAGGTCTTCTTTAGTGCATCATAATCAGCCTGAAATATCAATGTTTAATATATATATATATAATTAATTTAATCTTTACTTCATGTCCATCGGGCTCTTGGTATGCTGGCCAACTGCATGAATATACCATGGGTCTCTTAGTTTTATTTAAGTAATTTCCAAATGCAGCGTATCCTACAATATAGTAAATTGACAAATAAAATTCAAGTAAATAAACTTTTTCTTAAGTTACCTTCTACCATAGTATCTGGATCAGAGTAGCAACCATCCAATTTCACATAGTCCACACCCCAGTCGGCAAAAGTTTGAGCATCCAATTCTAAGTAATTCAAACTTCCAGGATAACCAGCGCAAGTGTGAGTCCCGTAATCGCCATAAATTCCAAATTTCAAGCCTTTGCTGTGTATCTGACAAGAGCATAACAACAATAATAACAGTGCATTTATAAGTATATCGTCACACTCACATAATCGCCGAGCGATTTCATTCCGCTCTTGAAACGAATTGGATCAGCTTGCAGACGATTATCGTTAGCACGATTCTTATCCATCCAGCAATCGTCCACAATTATATAATTGTATCCTGCATTCAAGTAGCCTTCGCTCTCCATTATATCAGCCATTTTACGAAAAAGATCTTCGCTGGAAATAAAAAAGCAAATATATATATATATATATAAGTATATATAAGTATTTTCGGTGTTTAATGCTTTCTTATTTTCGGAGAGTAAATTATATTTCTGTATATGGTAAAGAAAATATTTCATTTTTATAACGCGCAATGAGAATTGATTACAACAATACATTAATTGTCATTTATTCAAATTTCTGAAAAAATCACTGAGTTCAATATATACTAATTTGGATAAAGAGTTTTTTTATTTAAAAATACGAAATTACTTTTCGAACGCGCCAATCCGCCACTAAATACTAACGTTTATTGCAACAGTCATAAAAAGTAAACAAAAATAAATATTTTTTTGAAATTTTAATAAATAGAAAAGCTTAAAAGTGTTTTATTATTATATTAAATATTTGCACATTTATATATAATCTATTATTAGAATCATTACGTTATCTTAAGAAGGTGAATACACAAGCCTGTGTGCATTCAAGATTGCAGTTCGTTCAACTGTACCATTGTTTTTTTTTAATTCTTCATGAAACAGCATTTATTGATTTAAAGTGTAAAAAGTGTTTAAAGGCCAACATATCATCAGCATTTTTATGTGACACATATTATATATGTGTCATCAATTATTAAAATTAATTGTAAAAATAAGTCAATAATAATAATAATAATAAAAAAGAAAGCTGCAATTTGGAAAGTCATGTGTTCCAAAAAACACAAAAAATATTTACAGGTACGAAACATTTTCTTTGGTTTTATTTTCCTACAAAACTGGATCATAATGGTTCATTTATATTTTTTTTCTTTTCTTTAATTAGGTTAATAGTTCAACTGCAATTATAGTTTTATATGTAATAAAGGTTAATAAAGAATATGCTATAATAAACTCTATGAACAACTTCACGACCTTCGTCTTGGATTTTGTGATACGTACGTAGTGAAATAAGCTATGCGTCGCCTACTAATTATTGTTTAAATGAGAAAATATGTCATTATATATTCTCTGAAGAAATATATGGCAACAAATTATATAATTTCATGGAATTTGGTGACGTATGAAAAAATGTTCAATTAAATTAAGCCGAAATACTCTTCTACATTGTACATGTTACCATCGGTAGCCAATCGATGATCTGCAGAGTAATTAGATTAGAATATACAGTGGAGCGTCGCTCAACGAGCATACACGAGAATATCCGGATTTTTACTCGTTTATACGAGTATAAACTGGTATACGAGCAATACTGGTATACTGATATAATTATAACCATATAAACTAATGTACGATAATGCGTTCCATGTCGAAAAAAAAAAAGTATAACTTAGTCTCTCATTTTAATGTTTTTGCTTTTAATATCTATGGTTATTTTTATTCTTTCGCTTTTTATTCGGACACATTTAAATTTTTGCGGAAAAAAAAATCACAAATAACATAACTATAATAATGGTTGGACACAATACATTTTTGTTTTGCAGGCGCACAATCTTAGACTTCTCGTCACTCGTTATTGGAAACATCGTTGGTTAAGCGAGTCATTTTTACAATTTATTTTGCTCGAAAAGCGAGGTTCTACTATTGTTGCAATTTTTGTTTTAAAATGTTCGCTTTAAGTGTAAGTACCAATTCATATTAAGAATCTTCTTTTGATGAAAAAAAAATCGTGATAGTGGTCCGCGAGATTCAAAATGTTTAATAGTCCATGAGGTCAAAAAGGTTGGCAATCGTTGGTAAATAAATATACAGTTTGCATATAATATATTTGTTGTTGTCAAAGGGAAATAAGTAAACGTAAAAAATATAAGACATGAACTTTTCAGAGCCACTCCTGCATTATGAATGCTGCTCATTCATCCAAATTTACAGACGAACAAAACAGTTATTAAATCGGTTAACAAACAACTTAATTTCTTCGTATAATTGAATTCCATCAATATCAAATTGAGATTTATCTTAATCAGACAATGTAATTTCCAAGTTCTTGTAATTCTTCAATATATCTTCAGAAATCCAATTCATTGAAATTAAAACTTTAAAATAGTACAATTTTTTTTTCCAAAAGTGGATATTGTTTTATCTACTATCATATTAAAACATTCACATTGCTTTAGAAAATCTAGTAATTAACATTGTAATTTGCTACCCTTGCGAAGTGCCTGCTAAGCGTTAAGCAGTGTGTATTTAAATAAATAATCAATAATAATATACCTGACACATTCATCTGGGTATGTTTCGCAGTCGATAACGCAACGAAATCTTTGCCAGTGCATCCATCCCATTGGCGGTTTAATAGCCAAACCGTTGTCCAGGGCATAAACACTTATGCCCATTAGACAGAAGAATATGATTTGTATCTGCAAATGTAAAAATACATAAAAATACAATAAAATAGTATTTACATTATTTATTTAGATTATTTTGTGTTTTACATTTAAGTTATGTTATTATTTAAATAAAATTTAAAAAAATGAAAAAATGCAGTACATATAAGATAATCTCATGATATCAATTGAGATTATTTTTTACTGTATACAGATCGATATTGAATGTAAATAATATGCTAAGCGGCGTGTTTTCAATATTATGTTCCAATCAAATATATTTTCTTAATAATATTGTACCATATTTTTATTATTCTATTATTGAAAATGATTTAATGTTACATATATTTTATCATATTGTTTCTGTGTGGTTACAAGAATAAAATACGTGCAGTATATTTATAATAGACTTTAATACTAGACTCGGTTTTGAGACATATGTAAAGTGATTTTCGAACATACCATGCTGCACGATGTCTGAATGCGAACTAATGATCGGGTTCACTGGTCTCGTAGATAAGTTTTAATTGATTTATAAGTATATCAATTTAAAACCCGATTAACAGGTTAACCTTATCTATATCTACCACTTGAAAACAACAATAGACATATTTACTTCTTGCAATTTATATTACATTAAGCAGATTGACCCATAATATGTTACAGTTATTACACTTACAGCATGATTTATTATTTTGAAGGCGTGCGTATAAGTATATATACTTCACTTTCGGCCTTCAAAATATATTTTTATTTTTACATATTTATTTTGTTTATGTTTACAGTCTTTATTTTATCATTTCTACAACCTTTCCGTGGTTATTGATCACTCCAATTATTATTACTTTCAGTATAATTGTTTTAAAATAGATTTTCTTATATAATTTTAATAATAGTTAAACAGTTTTTTTAAATTAGAATGGGCTTAATATTATTAGTAACAAAGAAATATATAATTATTTCATTTTTTAAAATGATTATGAATTGATAAATTCATATTTATAATCTATATATAGATATGTATCTGATAATTATAATAAACTGAAATAACTATAAGATCATTGGTTAACAATTATGTTTTTTTTATTAAATAAATTTTCAGATTTTACTAACACGGATGGTATGCAACCAAAGTTGAATGGCAAACATATTTAGTGCATATAATTGGTCACCAAAAGTATGAGTCCTTTTGGTTTCTTTTGAATGAAAAATTGGTGTAAGCATTGTGCAGAATAATTAACTGTATAACTTTGCATTGTATAAGTTAAATAGTAAAATTGATAAAAAAAAAACGTTTTATATGCAAAATAATTAGTATCTATGTTTTGATATACAAAAACACATTTTTAATAATTTTAATAGGTAATTTGTAATTGTTAATTATTTTCTTTGTAAAATAATTTTTATATTTGAATTAAAAAACGGCAGAATTTCAGAAACAATTTTATTGTTTAGCCTGTGTTACATGGGCGCAGATAAAATCAAAGAAGAACTTCTACTGATCGCCCTGAGATAGACTAATGTTTTAACCCGATGCATTAAGGGCGCCGTAAACCAAAATAATTTAGCTTATAAAATAAGTAAACACTGAAACGGTAAACGAGACCACGGTAAACCCAATCAACTGTCAATTGGGATAATGAGCGTTTTACTGTATGACAAAATGTGTAGAGGTAAAATTATGACAGTATGCTAAATAAAGTCTTAGGGGTGATAAAAGTTTGTCAAAACCATGACATTAATGTGTGTGATGAGCATAATCGTATATTTTGATATACATTCTAATGTACATTTCAAATATAAACAAATGAAGTTTATGCCGATGTAATTAAAAGAATATTAGTTTATAAAATATTTCTGGTGTTATCATGACACCAGAAATATTTGTTTATAAACTAATATAACAGACAAAAAGTAACTTGATAAACTAATTGATACGTTTTGTTTTCAAAAGTTTGATTTAATAAACAAAAACATTTTTTTTTCGTCAGAAACTATTTTATTTTCGTCTTCGTTGTTTTTCTAAATCTTCTGTTGAAAACTAGCGTCTTCTGCATTCAATACATTTCTAACATCCAATTCATAGACATTTTCGAAATCTGTTGATTGAGCCACATGGATAAGTTATTTTCTAATTTTATACACTGTTTATACACGTACACTGATGGCACAATAGTAAAATAATATTAAGAAAACAAAAGTAGTTTTGCATACATTTAATTTTATTAAATAAGTTGTATAAAAATATTAACAAATATTAACGTACAAATATAATTTTTATTTACCTACACACGAATACAACAATTACTTGCACTTGTCAAATAACATATTGAAAAAAATAATTTGTCATGTTCCATCTCTTTTTTTTTTGATTTACCAACAAAAAAAATAAATAAAGTATAATATAACAGTATAGTACTGAGTTATTTTTGGTTAAAATGTAAGAATACTATTATAATCAATCAATATCACTTGGACTCAATTGCCTTTCGCCCTCATTCAACAAAATTTTCATTGCTTTGTAAAGCAAGTAGACGCCCAACATTCGCTTTTGTTTCTCGTTCCAAGTGGCAGCCATCCCGTAAAACTGACCGCTTTTCGCGTTCTTGAGATTCGTCAATTTGATCGCATTGATCATCGCGGCTTCCCTTGTATACGCCTCGACCGGTATCACATTTTGGAACACGTGTAGGCACACGACGCCGTAGCCCTCGTTCCATATGTCCAGTATATGCTGGATCTTCTCGCTTTGTTTATCCGTCGTCTTGCTGTACGATTCAACGGCATCGTACAGATGTTGATAAGGGCGAGAACGTTTTCCCTTGCCCACATAAAATATAGACGTTATGAAAATTTTCCATTTCTCCTCTGCGGAAAGATCAGTTCTGCACGGCAAATTTTTGGTTACGCGAGGATCGAGAAGTAGATACGTAAATGAGGATTTCTTCACGCCTTCCCGCCATCTCCTAGAAACATCGGGATTCGAGAATTCTTTGGACACAATTTCTTCGAGGCTCTTGTATTTTAATAGTTCCAAATTCCATTCTGCAGTGTTTAAGGTCTTTTGAAGTTCCCACGAATAAACTACAAATAAAACACTAATTAATTTAAACTAATAATTATAAAAGTGTATTCGATTACATATATAATATACACATATATTAGTAGTTGAATGACAATTTCATGACAAACGTCTGATATAGTGACAATATATAAGCATGATGTTTACCCCGTTTTATATTATATTTTTAACATTTGTTGTACCTTACACTATTGGTATGTTGTTATTAAAGCTTTGTAACTCACCGCCAAAAAAACGTTTGGAATTCAAAAATAAAATATTCAGATTTAAAAATGACATCCCTAATAACAAAATAGAGCATAACAGTAGATATTGTAAAATAGATCATATATATATATATATTTAAAACGTGCGATGAAATGTGGATTGTTTAAAATAATGACTAATTTATTTAACGCAACTTGAGGAGTACTGCGATTCTGGCAGTTTAGAATTTTAAAATTTCTTGAATGATGCAAAAAGTTATCGAACTTATTTTATACTCTACATTATCTCAATTACCTTTCTCATCTTTGGAATTGGTTTTTATATTATCCAATGGATTCCTTTGTAGATTGTACAATTTCCTAAGGTACACCCGTTTCGTGGATTTGGTTATTGGGCCGGGTTCAAAACCTATGCATGTTAATTCTTTATGGAGGGTGTCCGTGTCGTAGTCAAAGCTCTTAGGTAAGCTCGACAGTACAGATGATCTTGAACTGATGGTAACATTTTCCGTCTCATAACTGTAATTGAAAGAAATAAATTGTAATTATTAATTGTAATCGTTTGCTAAATCTGTTAAATTACCTATTGGCCGGAGGTAAAATACGTTTTTCAAATAGCACTATGCCTTCATCACGATCGGAATATCTGTAAACTTCGGAAACACTGATAAAACTATTTTCGAAGTTTGCGATATGATTGTTGATGTGGTCCGTACTCTTCTGGGAAGACGAGGACGAGGACATTTCGTAAACATTTTGATTCATAACATCGTCTGATCCTTCCGTACATGTACAGTAATCACTACTCGTATCTTTAGATTTCGTCTTACTAATTTTGCGCGGTGACAATTTGATTTCATCATCTTCCAACGCAGAATCGTTCAATGTTACTATGCCACTTTCGCGAGATTTCTCGGAAAATTTGCAAAAGTCATTAGATTGGTGCGAATTGAACGGGACATCCCATGGTCGGGCCTTAGGTCTGTACATTGTAACATTTTTGTAACGGTAGGATCCATTTACGGATGAAGTTACGCTCTTGGGCGATAAGTCCTCTAATCCGCTCGATTCCAATTGCGCGTCCAGAGTATCGCACCAATTCCTCACATAATCATTTGGATTTGTTCTAGGTAAAACTTCCAAATCGATGGTTTCCGCTTCAACTATATTTGCGAGCTCGTATTCTCCAACCACCTGTCCATTATTCACAACTATTTTATCTGCGCAAACATTAATAAGTAAATTAAAAAATAATAATAAAAAAATACAATCAATATTTTACCTAAAGCATAGTCCAATTGAACATTAGCATTACTTCCGGATAGAAATGACCGTACGTCGCAGCTGATATTATCCTTAATAATCTTGATAACGGCGCAGTGATCCTCCGCCGCTGCATAATCTATGGGCGTTTGATAACAGTTGTCTTCTATATTTGGATCGGCTCCGCACAGCAAAAGCAATTCAACTATATTGCTTCTACCCCACGCAGCAGCAATGTGGAGAGGTGTCAAACCTTCGTCCGATCTCACATTTGGATCTCCACCGTGCTCCAAAACGATCGTCGTAACTTTCTGGGCGAAATCGGAATTCTCGCTTCCGATTGCCAAGTGAAACGGCGATATGCCCGGCTTTGGTAAAATAATATTTGCATCCGCTCCTTTATCGCTTAATAAAGATTTCACAGCCCTGAAACAAATTCAAAATATAGAAATTCTTGCCCAACAGATCCAAATCCCGAGTTCTATTAAGAAAGGTTAGGATTGAAATTTGAACCGAGACTGACTCTTCTTTATTTTTTTTACTAATTGTGATAAAATATTGGCGCCTCGCTTATCAATAAAATATGTCTCGTACGCCGACGATTAAAAAATAATACAACACACAAAACGAAAAGCAACATCGACAAGACATTTATCTATTACATAAACATGAAATGTTTCTTCTATTGCAGTGGATACAAAAACGAGCAGAACACAATTAATAAAGTTTTTATTTATGGTCCATACACGAGTATTACTGATATCAGTAGTCATGGAATAATTAATTGAAAATGGAATATTTATTTTTTTGTAAATCGAATATACAAATGCGCATGTTATATATTGACTAAATGAAAATATGGCAATACCTCACGATCAGACCGAATTCGCTTTAGTCCGGTAAGGAAATTTCAAAATAAACTCAAATTTAATTGAGCAAAACAAACATAAATTCTAAAAAAAATAGTACACAAAAATATTATTTAATTTATACATAATTGATCCTTTCTTTTTTAAATAGTCCATGATATTGGTAAAACCGATTATCCACGGACGAGGTATTGCTGTCTATATAGGAGCATTTGTATTTTTATTATAAACTTATCAATATTATTATCTTTTTCTTCTCCGCTTCGCCGCCTTTTTAGAATGAAATCGAAGTATTGTTGCAACTTAGCAAACATTATATTTCTTCGTTATTATAACATAAAGTAGAGTCGGTGACGATAACGATATCATTCAATTATTGTATTGCAATTATAAATTAATTATTTATAACTTGGACTGACGCGCGAAAAATAAAGTCAATAAATTAATTGCTTTGACGTTATATAAATCGATTCCACGCATATTGCTCGCAACACTTTATGAATTTATCTGGAATTTATTATTTCATATCACATACATTAGTTTTAGTCCTACAACCAAATTACATAACCCAATATAAATTGCAATTTAGATAATAGGCGCCTATCTACAGACGAAGAGCGGGAAGACAAAATAAAAAAAGGCTTATCTTGAAATTAATTTCACATTTTGGTTGACTAATTTATTAATTTCTCTGATATAAAAAAAAAATCAGGCGAATTTATCTGCTATTCTTTGTGCAATACTACTTTTATATTTTAAGAAAACCAGATCGGATTTTCTGGGAATTATACTTATGAAAAACAGACAATGTTTATTTTAAACAGATCAATCAAACTAATGTTGAAATGTTGATCCAAATACGTCATACATCTTGTCCCTGGATTTTTATTTTTTTCAATATCGTTTACATTCATACAATTATTATTTTTTAAAAATCGAATTAAAAGAGGTCGGACAAATTTAAGTTCAAATAAAGCAGGTCACATTAGTATATTATTATTTAATTATAATAATTAAGATTAAACTAGAGTACGTAAAGAAAGCACAGTCATTGCATACCTTCGTATTTTAATTAAAAAAAAAATAAAATTGTCACATATTATTAATTCTTCTTAAATAGTAACCTTGATCATCAGCGTTTATTGTATACTTATTAGATTCGAATGAAACTAATTCAATTCCCATCCATTCATCATTATTTACATTCTTCTCTTATAAGCTTACAAGTGCAAGGTCGCTCATATTATTATCTCTGCCCTTTTGTACCCGAGACTCCATTGATGTTATTGAATTTAATGAAGAAAAAAAAATGCTGCCGGCTTTTCAATGACTCGCTATATTTTGATATAGAATTGCAGGATCTTGCCGGATATAAGCAATTATATACTGTATGTAATACGTGCAAACGCACATCTCGCACTTATGATAAGCAAAAATAGATTGTCGTATATCTAATATTTAATAATATTTATTGTTGTTATTATTTTGGCGTCGAAGACCCCTTGCGACATCGCTAATTACATGTTGATTATATAGTTTTGTTAGCAACAGCCTGAGTACATATTAAATTAATATATTTCAATTAAATTCTATTACATTATTTACAATTCAGGAAATTTTGCAGAATTCTGATTAAGTGAAAATTATTATTTAACACGTAACCAAATCTATGAAAACTATTTATTACTCTGTTTTGAGATACGTTGATCTTGAGTACTCAAGATCTTCACACCTCGTATCACCAGATGATCGCCGGATGGTCATATAAAACACACATCAAATATAATATAATAAACGATAGTTACAACAGTAACGTAAAGATCGAAATCGTTATTTCTACAAAAATATCCAAAGGGTACAATAATAGTAATAATATTAGAATAACAAGAACAACGATTAGACGTAAAAGTACCCAATCAATTAGTTTGTAGATGGACTGCAAACAAATCTGCTTCAAACCGCCTTATTAATAAATGTATATATATATACATAAAAATAAAAGACGATAATCAGTTATCATTAACTAATAAATATTATCAGTTCGAATAAGAAGCGCCTTTTTAGTTTCCGTTTATAGAACGGATTTATAGCGTCAATTAACTCCGATCCCTACAATATACGGAACAATCTTATATGAGCCCGATTATTAAACCAATTTTTCTTCAATTCATAACAATGACAATTAGATTCTATTATAATGTAATCAATTCCAATTGTGTACTATTTTTTTTAAACCACGTATACCCATATATGGTTTCCCGTCAAGTTCATTTGATATCAGAATATATATAATAATATATAAGAGAAATCATAAATAATATAAGATGATTCATATCATTGCTAATTAGTTGAATAATAAAACTTATCACAGACCAAATAATCAAAAATTAAACATTCAAGTTGTATATAGCTAATAATGGGAGACAGCATTAATCTGTCTACTTATTATGTGTAACTAAAATTAATTAATTGTTTATATTATCATCCAAATAAAAAAAATAAATATTATGATAAGCTTTCATTTTATAGTATAAAAATTGGTGCGCTTTGCAGACGAACAAAAAAATCATTACGAAATGCGTGATTATCAAAAAGGAGAAAACTAAAAATAGAATTGGGAATAGAATTACACTTTTTTATTATTGAGATTAAGTATATTTATCCGGGAGGAACCGCACGATAAGAGTCGTCACTCAATACCAAATACCAATTTATGTTCGTTTTTTTCTTTTTAAATCAACTATAATACTTTATATTAAAAGAAAATAATATTCTAATATGCAAAAGATTAAAAATGAAGTTATTCAGATGTGTCAATCAATCTAAAATTGTGATTTTTCTATTGAAGAATTAGAATTAAATTGCAAAAAAACGAAATCAAAGAAATTTCTAACTATTAGCAACCATAGAATTAAGTTTATATAATGTATTTAAATGATATTGAAATTATTTTTTTTATAATATATGACCCTGACATCGGAATAAAATAGTGTTAACAAAATCGAGACTAAAAATCAATTCTTAATTTCTATTTGAAAGCTTATTATACAAAAATCGCCAATACTACAATAATGACTGATATATCATTATGTTTTCTGTAATTTATTCTTAATTATTTATGTAGTTTATTCATAAATAATTATATTTATTAGATTTTGAAAGTAAAAATAGTTAAAAAAAATATTAATATCAACATCTTGAAACATATGAAGAAACTTCTATTATATGAACTATAGGAATTTAATGAACAATATTAAAAATCTAAAATAATTTATATCACGTGAGTTTTGATTATTTGCAAAAAAAAAAACTGGTAAAAAGCAGATTCATTCCAAATAGCTTGAATTAAAAAGTTTAATAAGTAATTTTAAATTAAATTTATTTGATCATACTTGTTTAAGGAGCATTGTTGATTTTATGATAATTTCCTTGCATCAACCTTCTGTATATTTACAAAAGTTTCAGCTCTATTGGGACAAGATTGATAAGAACAATGTACAGTTAGTAATCATTTATTTAAAATATTTCTTATTTCCTCTCTATTTTATTTGTATATTCAAAATATACTTCCAGTTAGAATAATTGATCCAAAACAGGTAATGAAAAGTTAAGCATTTTCTAATTTGAAATTACTAAAAATACAAATAAAGTAAAATAACTTGTAAAATGTCTTTCACATATGAATAGAATATATTCCAAATAAAAAATGCTTAAAAATATTTATCAGGGTTTTAATATAAACAAATATTTCTAAGGTATATTTTGTCGATTCACTAGGAATGAGTTGAAACAGCTGATTCCGTGAACCGTATTGTAATCACTCTTCGTGTATAAGAAAAAACATATCTGCACTGAATGAACGACAATGCGATTTATTACTACTAGTGCAATGCACTCACCTAAAGTCCTGATCTTCAATGGAATCGTAGAGTAGGGATGCCAAATAAAACTCGGTCGTGCTGCGTCCGCGATAAATACTCATTGCCACACTATGTATAATGAAAATTATTCGTGTGTTGCATAAGAAAAGCAAATGCGCGTAAATGTAACCTACTTTCTTTACGGCAATTTATGAACTGATAAAGTCATCGATGGTCAGCTTTTTTCCCCAGTCCAGAGGATGTAAACAAATCGTTGCCGAGACGAGATTAGGTTAGTTTGCGTGCGGTCGACGGATGCGCGTGCGCGTCGCACCGCTCAAAGTGCGAACGTTGGTGCGTGCGGTGCGATGCGATTGGGATTAGGTTGAATGGTGTTGAATTGGATGCGATTGATGTTGCGGATTGCTGCTGCGTGTCGTTCATGTGTCGCTCTCCGAAGTCATTAATCAACGCACAAAGCGCATCGACTAATTAAAACGCTTTCTATTCATGAACACATTTTTACCACTACAATTTGTTGATACCATTCTTATTATTATTGACGCCTCCGTTTATTTATAGTATAAACCAGTTTCGGTTTTATGGATCTTCCATTTATAACTTCTTATCACACACATATTACTATATTGTGCGTAATTCATTACAATTTCCACGCTAACTCAACAATTACAACACACAATACACAAAATTTATTTACATTCATTTTGTAACTAACAAGTAAGGTCATACCAATTTATCCTCCATAATTAACATTTTTTTTCGGATTAATGTTCAAGAACTAATTCACCGTCTGAGTTCAAAAATTTAAAAAAACATACACAAAAATTATATTTATAGCTTTTCTATCCAAAAAAGTAAAATATAACATTTTCAACGATGGAAAACATATTTGAAGGACATACAAGAAGTATGCAATAACACATCTGAAGAAATATTAAAGCATAGAAATTAAAGTGTTTGCTACTCTAATAAAATGCAACGTTGGTCCGCGAGAAGCTCTAAAATTAATTTTGGATCAAAATTTAACCGAAAACATCCAAATTTAACCACAGCTTTACGTATATTACTAATAATAGCTGTATCCGTTTCAAGTGCTGAATCTAAATTAAAATTAATTAAATATATCACAACAGTGATTCAAAATAGTATTAAGATTTAGTAATTTACATTACAAACCTTCAATGATTATACACTTTTATTTAATACATGTTTAATTTTTGTATTCAATATCATTAGTTTGATTCAAATGTGATTTATTTCTTATTAAAAAAATGTATATTGCTGTTGCATCTTTTTTTTAATATTTTATTAACATTATCTTTGAGCAACAACAATGTAAAAAACTTTGTAATTGTAAAGCAAAATGATGAAAGAAGGTTGAAATAACTGATTCTAAAATGTCGTTTATATACATTTCTTATAACTTGTCCGTATTCTTCATCTTTAATTTTTATCAAAAAAAAAAATGTAAATATCTGTGCTTTGTTTTGGTATACTTTTATTTTTAATTAATTGTTAATGAAACAATTAATAACAGTTTCATACATTGAGTTATAAATGTATCAAGCTATCTTAATGTTGACGATATTTTAATTATCACACGTACGTTGCCCTGAATATAACATCTTTGTAGACTCTGGCATCATATACTTAAATGCTTGTTACAATTTGTGTCTTTATTTAATATTTATGTTCACATTAGTTCCATTTTACTTTAATAACAAGCCAGTATCTTCATCTTATTTGTCACTGCTATCTAATCAATTCTTGTAAAATTGAATAATGTATTTTATTCAATATTGAATTATGATTCCAAAATAATACATGATTTTAGTTCCTAATAACAATTCTACGAATATATAAATTTCGAATTGTGATGTACAATTTCACAACAACATTATCGAATCGCTATTGTCTTTTATGACTTTTCCTAATGCATACAATATTTTCAGTATTTGCTTCACCCAATATTTTATATTTTCCGAGAAATATCTATAAACTAGCTAATCTATTAATCAATTTGATGATGATTTAACAGTCCTATTTTGAAGAAATAAATGTATTCCAAGAATGTTTAGACACACAAAATCAATATTATTAGAAACATAAATAATATAGACGAAAATTTTTCGTAATATATTGAACGGATACTTTAAGAAACAGATAACGGACAAATATGAGTCCTCATACACGGATAATGAAAAAGAAATGATTTTAAATAAACATACAAAATGAGATTATTATTGAGTTTCGAGTGATGTAGAACAGAGGTTCAACTCCTCGGGCCGCCCAAGGAACATTAAATTATTTCCATTTTATTTTAACTCACTAGAATCTACGTCTGACGTAAAAGACCAACGCAACGGAACGGCTGCTGATCGGTCAGTTACGGATGATATAAACGTTTCAAACACGAAAAAGTACCAGTTCATAATAAAATTCAATAATGCTAAACGACAAAAAGAATGATAACCTGAAAAGTATAACTTTTTTACTTGAAAAGTTGTATTATGGTATTAATAAATATGTATATCAATATATAGTTTTCTTTAATGAGTCCATAAATTTCAAAGTACAACTTTAAAATGTACAAGCCAAGTAAAATAAATTATAAAAAATAAAATTTAATATCACGATTATAATGTAAATAAAAATCATTTAATTTTATTTATGTACCCAAATAGGTGCAGCCACTAAACCGATTTCAACCCTTCCCGCTTCAATGACCTCATCCGAAATATTATCGACGTTGTAAAACTTCTGCAGCTCTTCAATAGCTTTATCTTCCAACTCAAAAAAAAGGTAACCGTCAATAAACATTGTCTTAATTTTAAGTGTTTCTTATACCTGTGTATAGATAAGCAATTTGCTTTTTATTTTCGTCAAATTTTCTTTCTGCTTCTTCTCCTCCGTTATAATCGTACTTATATTTGCTTTCGCGTCGGATGATCCAATTGGACTTTTTAGCGGTTCGATTCTTTTCCATGGATTTTTGGGACTCTCTAAAATATCAATTATAAATAAATTATGATACGTGGATCATATAATTGTTTAACCTGGTACGGCGTTCAATGAACACTCGGACGACAATCGTTTTCTCATTTTCTGAGATACCTTTTGCATTTTATGTTTATCCGGACGATGTTCGGATTTGGTTTTACTGCTGCCATCTGGACTGGCGAACGATTCATTGAGATCAGGAAAATCTCCTTTAGTTAAGTTGACGAAGTAGTCTTCATCAGCATTATCGAGTGCTATTTTCTCCATGGCAGAGGAAATAGCTTTTATTCTTGCCGGAGGTGGCGTTATCATATTTACATTTATTTTTTCTTCGGGGCATTGGATTATAACAGATTCAGTTACTTTCTCCTCTGGCTCTTGTTTGGATTCTGATTTCTTCTGGCTACCTGATTTATGAGATTTAGTTCGTTTCCTTTGAGATAAATTGGGTGTCACAATTATTTCATCGTTAAAGTCCATGTTAACAGGATTAGATTTGTGTATTTCTTTTATAACTTCGTCGCTCGTATTATCAGAATACGGAGTTATGATCCTGTGGCTCATATATCTATTCCATGTGGCATAAAACTTCGTTAAGTCTATTAGAATTTCTTCGTCGATCTCTTCCAAACACCTCGACTCCAAAAATGCAGCAATATTTAAACAAATAAACTCCATGCAACAGATTTTCAATTGATTCGCGTTGTAAGTATGCGCCAATGAAATAACAGTTAAGACGTTCTTGAAAGTTATCATCTTCGATAAAGTAAATTCGCAGACTTCTATCAATCGGTCCATAAGTAAATATTCAGCCAACACTAGTAAATTACATACAGTATCTAAATCATCATTATCTAAGCTAACCTGATCCATGTACAAGTAATTCATTAACCGATTTATTGTGGAATATGCAAACGGAAGAGTTAGTTTGCAAGTTGATTTCTAAAATTGAACATTTGCTTAATAAAAATAAAATAATAATTAAGGAAAACACTTACATCATCATTCCACCGAACAGAAAACATGTTCCTAAAGAATTCGGACCTGGCTTCTAATATGCACTTATGAGCAGCCACAATTTTATCACTTTTACATTCAATTTGAATATCGTGCAGTTCCACTAAATCATCGATTTTGAATTTAAGTATTTTTGGAGTAAAATCTTTACCGGTTTTATACTTAATCACTCCATTAGAATATACACATTTGCATGTATCATTATACAAAGAATTTAACCCTAATGATTTGGCTGCGTCCTGAAGCAACTTTACTGGATCAGTGACTTCAATTTCCTGTGTGTTCTTTGATTGGCTATTATACACTTCAAATACCGATTTACCAGCACAGTTGACAAACTCTTCAACTTCGATTTTAGATTTCACCGTTGGAGTTATATTAACAGAACATGGCCCTGCATGTAATAGTTCGCAATCATTGGTGTAAAGATAATTTAACAACTGCTCGAATATTTGTGGATGTATCGAGTCAATTTTAATTTCGTTGCATTCGGATACCATTTTCTTTAATTTATCACTTCCCAACCCAATAATGTATTTGTGAACAGGGAAATTAACTCCTCTCACTGTAAACACAAAATTCGATGTTTCTGGTTTTATTAAAAGGTTTTGAAAATCATCTTCCATCGTCGATGAAGAAATATTGGGAACTCTTGTTATATATGAAGATACATTCATCTAAAAAAATATTCATATTAATAAAACGAATAATCAAAAGTATAATATAGAATATTACTTGCAATGAGACAAAATTATCTCCTTCTAAATCAGATACAATTGTATCTGCTGCAAATATCTTGGGAATCCTTTCTAGATCAACCAAGATGCATTCATTTCTGTTCAAGAATTTATTGAAAATTTTTGATTTATTTTTATCATGGTTTTTTTGTTTCTTCCTAGTTTCTGGGTAGGCCTTAAACAATTCTCTGTCGTTAGTCAACAAGATCATAGACTTGTTGTTCAATGTAACATCTTTAAGTTTCAATAGACGATTCAGCGTAAATATAGCGCGATCCAAATGCTGGTCACTTTCTCGCCAAATCAATAAGTTTCCAGCTTTAGTCAAGGCAACGACTCTTAATTCCACGGTAGCACCCTTGTCAATAGATAATTTACCGCCGACCATTTTAATTCGCTCAATATCTAAAATTCTTGCATTTCTTGTATTAATACAAATTTCTTAACCAATATAAATATAATAATATACTTGGACGCAATTTTTCTGCATTGGAATTCATGTAGGACAAAAATATCTCCGTGATCTGTTAAAACAGCCGTTGCGCCATTACTTGCAACGACATCTTTAAGCAACCAGTCTCCCATCACGTACGTAACTTTTTTTGGTAAAATTTGATGAATTTCATTATTCTTATCGTGACCTATCTGACCACCGTTTAATCCCCATGTGTACATTGCCACCGGACTCCACGCTACCGAGTGATAAGTCGCACAGCATATATTTGTGACTGGTGTTTTCAAAGTTGATGGTTTTGGTACCAATAATTCAGGAACCGTTGGATGAACACCTAGGACAAAATTCGCATTTGAACCACATGCCCAGACCTACCGAAATACAAAAATAAATATACTAACAAGAAACTACTACAATTGTACTTACAGTATTATTTTCAGCAAGAAACAAACAATGATCCCTACCAATGCATACATCTTTAATTGCAAGGGATTTGTGATTAAAATGAAACTTAACTTGTGTAGGTTCTAAATTAGATGATTCTGATCCCAATCCCAATCTGCCACCTTGCCCATGACCATAAGTAAATATTTCACCATTCTCAGTTAAAATAGCAGTGTGATATTTTTCAAGGCACACTTTCTTTACCAATGCATTAGGCTTAATTTTATGAAATGTGTCCACTAATTCAGGACTATGTTTGGATTGACTTGAACCCAGTGTGTAATTGAAATTAGTGCCCCACATGTAGATCCACCTTGGCACAGGAAAATTCCATGCACACAATGGATTATCTTTCAATGCATGATCCAAGGGGGTTAAATTGTTACAATCCAAAATATTAATTTTTGCACCTGAAACAATATTATATTTATAAAATATATAAATAAATTATATGACATTACCTAGTTTTATTAGTGCAACAGCTGTGTCTATTTTGCCATAAAAAACACTCCTATGCAATGCAGTATATCCTGACTCAGTATCTTTTTCATCTATTTTGCTGTGTTTCCTGCATACTAACCACTTGCAAACTTCAGTGCGACCACATGAAGCTGCAACATGCAAGGCAGACCGATGGTCATAATCTTTGGATGTGCCACATTGATCACATATTTTATTTAGGAAACTACACAATTCAGCATCTGATACTTCATGTTTGGTTAAAGCAGATGTAATTGTTTCACCATGCTTGTATAAAGAGCATCTATTTGAGCATAGTTCATCATCCACAACCATTTCTAAAAATTGTAATATTGCATAATTGAAGAAATTCATTTATATGAAATAAATTCAATTGATTTATTCAACTTTAATACTTACTGTTGTTTGGGATATTATAATACTCTATTATAAAGTCAATATATACAAAGCACCTTTGTAATCACAACAATATTGTTTAAAATTTATTACGATATTAATAAAACCAAAACCACTATACAGCTACATAATATGTTATAGACAACCACACCTGCAGCTAATATTGTAGTGATCTAACTTACCGACCAATAACCAGGTGTTTGTATTAAAATCTACTTTGAACATTCTCAATATTGAGATACCTCAAATAAATAAATGGACCGCCTGTATCACGAAAATGCGATATCAATAATAATAATATAAAAATTTCTTTAAAATATTTGCACTTAAGAAGTTACAGATTCTTCTTCTATTTTAAACCACCAGCTTGTGTTAAGCACAATTTCGTCAGCTACCGTCCAGTGGTTATATATACAAGTGGCAAAAACATACAAAGACGATGTTCAAACCGTGACTCTGCGGTTCATTACAATTGGACTGTGTTGAGCGGTGTTGAGTCTCGGAAAGGATGTCGGTGAGCTTGTAGATAGAACCACAACCATACAGACAGCGTAGTGGTCGGTAGACAAGTATACAGAGTTAGCGCTAGATCAAAATTTTGGATTTTCTTAAGAATTCCAAAACGGCCAAATACACTTCACGATTCTCAGATACCATCAAAAGAGGGATGGAGGTAGGCAATGGGACACGCAAGCATATTCCGTGTATGCGTCGAATACCGAAACATTAATATGTGACGAGTATTTAATGTCGAGTACCAAAGTTCTTCTTTAACTGGTTGTGGATGCATCACAGGAAAATAATCTGATATAAATGTACCTTGTATATATGTACCATGGATAAAGGTTAAGTTTATTTTATGAATTATATCATTTCATGACCTATTAAATGATTACCAAAAATAAGTGCATAATTCAATATATTAAAATATTATTAAAAAATCTCGTGTACATGTGATAGTTTTTTTGGCTATTGGTCTTACAAGCTATAATGGTCATATGTATTTGGGTGGTTTGCATGTGTATATTGTGTAGGATTTTCGTCGGTCGATTTTGGTGTGTTTAAAGTTGGATCGTATTAATTGTACGGGTAAAAATAATTTAAAGATAAATAAAGTAAAAATAATTTAAAAAAAACGACTTCCCACTTCTTTCATTTCTTGTATGCTCAAAAACGTTATGCTCTATATCAGCGATGGCTAACTTTTTGGGATTGATGTGTCAAAATTTGGAAATAAACGTAGCTTAATTCGTGTGCCTGTCAGTTGGATTTATAAATGATGGGAGAATTGACTTCCAAATTTTTTTCATATGTAATCATTTTCTTGGCATGTTTCCCCAAATGTCTCGCCATGTCACCCTGACACGCGTGTCATAGGAGCCTAATGGATAAGACGGCCCTGATGTTTAACAAATATACATGAACATATTTTTTTTACTTTTATGAAAGATAAAATATTTACTTTACTTAATGATAATGTATAGACACAAGATTTAACATTCTTAGTTAATATTGATTGAAATAGTTCCATAAGCATATATAGGCCCTAATCAAAAATAAACACAACAAACCCATCTTGAGTTTATTCAATAGGACTCCAAATAATGTTAGTCCAGGACCCCCAAAGTATGCTCCAAGTAATATCTGCCCCTGGGTATCTTAATATTTTTAACAGATTTTGATTCCACACGTGATTTTCTGTGGCAGCCAAATACGTACGACAGGAAACCGTTGGTAACTTCGATCAAAATAAAAACATTTTCTAACAAAATAATACAAAAATGTTTTCTTAAATCTCTTTTTTTTTTAACTAGACAGTTTCATGTAAATTTAGTTATACAGTGTCGGACAAATATAAAATAAGAACACTCGTTGACATTCAATACTATAACATTTTTTTTGCTTATAGCAACTTTTATGTAAAATATTTTTATTGAAGAATAATACGATATGGTTAACGCAAAAAAATGTAGTTTGCAGCGCTGGAGCTGAATACATTTTGGGTATTTTCGCGGCGAATGTTAAAGTGAAGCTTGAAAGAAAAATGTATTTTTTTAAGATTAGGATCAAATTTTTGTTTTATTTGTACTGGTATGTTTTAAAATACGTAAACTAGGGGCAATTACATAAAATTTCGCAATTTGGCAATGCAATGGGTCGAGCGAATGGGTCCAATTTCTACCTCTTTCGGGTTTAACAGCCACCACAAATTTTTGCTGGTTTTTTAGGAATCGAACCAACGACCTTTCGTATCAGATGTGATACAGGCGACCATAGCTACACGGCTACGGCCGCCCTCATCATTGCAATGTATTCTCCAGATTTCTTTTGAATCTATTTTGTTTTTATATTTTTCAATGTACCCATAGTGCGGACAATTGTTTCCGTCGATATCCCGGACTTAAAACGGACTAATCAAGAATAAGCACAAAAAATAACTTCAGTTTGGCAAATAATATGTATGTGCCGCGAAATATTGAAAAATATAGGTAAAAATATTTGAAAAAACTAAAATTTTTAATGTTAATTATAATTTATTTTTATTTCATATTGTTATTATCTTTTGCAAATTCTTATTCAATTTTAACATCACTGTGTTCTTCGATCCAATCAAGGAAGTAAGTGATACGGGTGTAAGCCGCTGGCCATCCAATTTCGCATCCAAACGAAACACCGAAGGAAACCAAACCGATCTAACGAATGAAAACTTATAAAACAGCTTTTAATTTAAAATCAGAGATACATACCTGAGTGTTGTCCTCAGCCAAGACCAATGGACCGCCGGAGTCTCCGCTGCAGGTGCTCTTGCCACCTTCAGACTTGGTGCAAATGTGCGATGCGTGAATCATTCCGAAGAAGGATTTGTTGCAGGTGTTATTGTCCAAAACCGGAACTTGAACGGAACGCAAGACTGGGCTAACGCTGGTAGCCTTGTCGCTGTCCTTTCCCCATCCACTGGCAATAGAGTTTTCCTCCGCAAAAGTTTGTTCGGCTTGAGCCCTGGTGGGCAATTTAACCAATTGGACATTCTCTGAAAATGAAATTAATGTTGTCGCAATTCAGTATATATACATTTAGTTTCTTACCGTTCAATTCAACAGACTGTGGCAATTTGATCAAAGCAATATCGTTTCTCAACGTAAGCATGCTCCAATCTTCGTGGTAGATCAGATCTTCAGAAGTAACGCGGATTTGTGTTGGTTCTTCTTGCAGAACCTTGTGAGCTCCCAGTATAACGTCGATGAATTTTCCTCTGAAATGACGACGAGTTAATATTTGAAATTTCAGTTAGATTTCAAATTTTTATTACGGTTCAACGCAGTGAGCGGCAGTGAGAACGAAGTTGCGGGAAATTAAAGAACCACCGCAGAAGGCAATTTGGTTTTCGTCATCTTTCATGTGAACCTTCAAACCAACTTGGTACGGGATGGAATTAGGTTTGACCTCATTCCCACCAACGATACGACCATTCTTGTTGAACAGGCCGATGTTGAAGAAATTGGTGACAATGTCCAATGACTTGAAGTTGGCTTTTTCTTGGGCCTAAAAACAAATAAGTACATATATATTTAATCGCAATTTACAGGTATTTTGTCAAGTTTATTACCTGGGCTAAAGCCACAGTTGCCAAAACAAATAAGAATAATTTCATTGTTCAAAGCGAAATGGAATTATGTTTCGGTAGTGGCTAGAAACCTCCTTATATATAAGTGATAATTATGATTGATTCACTGATTGCTTTAAAGAGCATTTTTTTTTAATATATTTATCTTTTATCTGTATCGAACGTTTCATATCACATATTGTGAAATGAATTAGAAATCAAATGCATTTTTTTTAATCAATGCTATAAATATAGTTGATATTGATCAATTCAATTATTTTCGATTAGACTCTGTTGATATATCTGCCAGTTAAGATCAGCATTATACTAAATTTATTTTAAAATACTAGACGACATGAGTCGATCGATATTCTTTATGTACTTTCCATTCAAAGTCCATCTTTTTAAAAATAAATGTTAAAATGTTATTATGGTATGTAATTTTGTTATATAATTACAAATTTGAAAGTCTCATTTAATACTGCAGATCAATTTGAAAACAAACATATTTATCTACAGTTTTGTTATTTCCGTTCAAATTATAAACTAAACAATATATTGAAGAACATTGAATATTATAAAATTTCAGCCAATATACAAAAAATCGAGAAAATTTAAACTAATGTTTGGTACGCAAATTCATATATTAACATAATTTATTTATAAAGAAAATAGTAATTAATAAAATTAATTAGAGAGTTTTTTTTTTTTCAAATAAAGAAAACTTTTATTAAATAATTAGTCAACTCACGTTTCAAAATATTAGTCTAAAAAATGATTGTTTGTACATTTTTAATGCATTTGACACAATTCGCTTTCCTAACTAAAACTTCTTCCCTAAACAAGATCATTTTCACTAAACGTTTTTAATGTCATTAAAGCACTTTTTATCTTCTCGTTTCTATCAAGATTTTCTAAAAACCTCCACAGAAAAACATCATCTACTACAATTAACAGTTTTGAGCCATCTGGATAACTTCTTTGATATTTTGTCAGACGATTGTCATTAGTTTTAAATCTTTTTTTAATGTTAAAATTGCGACTTCAATATATTTAAGAGATAACGTTAGAATAATTCAATGTCGTAAAATTTCATTTTTCATTAAACAATTAAATTATGTAGATAGATAAAATTTCTGATGACCGATTTGTGGTAACACTGCTTTAAAGACCATAATACTTTGCAGAACAATATAAGAAATATCAAAATTATTTTGTGTCTTTCGTTAGCCCTTTGGCCAGCCTATTAGTATATATATTTTTATTGTATGTTAAAATTTATTTATGTATAAATTGTACTTTTTTTTCTCTTCTTCTTATGTATCGATGTTTGGCCAATAAATTATTATTATTATTTTGTGTCTATTTTTAGCATTTTGAAACAGTAATTATGTTTTTTTTATATTAAACGAAATAATTTTAAATCGGTAATTGCTACTTTACATTCAATGACTTTAATTTAGATATGTATATTACTGATTATATTTCTAAGGTTTTTTTTTTATTATATGATGTTATAAATCTGGAGAATCTGAAGTTATGATTCTTATATAATTGATATAATTGATGATAAATGTATCTTTATATTTCTATAAATAAATTTTGATCATAGTTGTTTATAAACAATAATAGGTGCATATTTATCCAAATTAAGTGAATCCTGTTATATTTTATATAAAGAAAATATGAATTCCAAAAATAGCAGTTTAAAAGAAGAAAATAATCAATTTATAAATAACATTATTTGTTCTATAAATGTAAAAAAAAATATGAAAGTGAACTTTGAAAAAGTAAAAAGATCGTTGAAATGTTTTCCACATTAAACGACAATATTTTTAGATCTATGGTACTTCAGATTAATGACTTTCCTTTTTTATTTATATCTATCTATTATTGATTATATTACTGATTACATCTCTATTTTTTTTCTAAACAAATAAACCTTAAAATAGTTTATTATTGACAATTAATCTGCTGAAACATTATGGTTTCTACATTATTTATTCAAAATTATAAAATATAAATATTTATCTGTCTGTAGTATGATAATTCTTTATCATCCTTATTTAATATCAAAAAGTACTAGTTTTCTAGTAATTAAGTAAAACCTAAATGAAAATTAAAAAATAGTTAAAAAAAACTAAATTTTATTATGAAAGATAGCACATAAAATTCAATGAATAATAAAAATATATTTCCGGATGATATTTCGCGTTTGAATGATTTTTTCTTGATTGTTGAAATTCAAATTTTTCACGTGAATTATTTTTTATATTTCACGCATAATGCAGATTCTATAGTATTAACTTTAATTAAGCTGTGTCAAAATCATCTATAATAGAATGGAGATTCGCGTTATCAAGTTGAAAAAAGTTGGGCTTATTTTCTTAACTGTTAACTTTACTTAATAATATCATCAACTTTAATATAGTAGTAATTCGGGATTCATAGTTTATTTATCTAAAATACATGTATCATTAGGTATGTATATAGGTATCACTAGAGTTTCAATACTTTTTGATAGCAATAAAATTAAAATACGCGAATATCCTTACAAATTGTTTTTATTTACACTTTGAAATAGATTTAATAATAATTATAATAGAAAAATGTTCTTGTCACTGTTTTAAATTAAATTTTTTTTGTATCTAAATAAATAAATAATTGGTTGATAGACCTTATAGTTCGATTCCCAAAAAAAAAAGTTTATTTTTTAGATTTGTTGATCCATTCTTTTATTGTTTATTTTAATCTATTGAGTGCAATCGTTTGTTTTTAGTATTTGCTTTTGTTATTGCATCAATCTTCAAGTGATGTGTGTGCCACAATTATTGTATTTGTTAAATCGATCAACCTTCGTATGATTTAAGTTGGCCTAATATTTGGATAAGCTGGACGATTAAGCTTATCAATTTTATTCCCTTAATAAAAATAAAAGTTTGTATAAATACAGTCATAACTCGATTAGCGAAATTACTTCAAGTTTCATGCAATCATTTTCTAATATCCTCTTCATCGTCATTTTTGTGAAAACATCGAATAAATTATTTTATTTAAACTTATTCTTGTTGGATAATTGTCGAACTTAAAGTAAACGCTGGAATATTTTTTATGTTAAGTCTGGCTTGAAATTGACCTCGTTAAATTGTTTACATTTAAAAATATCTCAATACAAAATAAATTTATTTCTCAATTTCATAGTTTCTTCATGATTCATATATAAAATAAGATATTATTACTAGAATAAAATATTGTCTATTTAAAGTATCTGTAATATTATTGAACTTGAAAATTTTAATTTAGTACAAATATGATTTAAAATTTATATTTACGATCATTCTCAAATTATTTTAGTTTATTTATTTTTTTATTTCTTCATATTATAGATTTTATTATTTACAATTTTTTATACACATTTTGTTCACTTTATTTTATTGGTTTCATTTGAGCCGATATTTGCAATATTTGACATCATTATTGAATTAAATTGGATGGACATTAAACACATTTTTTAATCTTCGATTTTGACGTCAGAATGCTCGGCAATCCAATCCAGATATTTGGAAACACGGCAGTAACCGGCTGGCCATCCAGCTTCGCATCCGAAATCAGTCACGAAAGAAGCAATTCCGACCTAAAAAATGTAACATATACATTATAAAGTATAAACATATAAAAGACACTATTTATTACTTGTTTATCGCTATTAACAACAAGTGGACCACCGGAATCACCGTTGCATGGACCTTTGCTGCCTTCACCAGCAGAGCAGATTTGAGTATCAGTGATCACTCCATAAGCTGCGTTACAATCTCTGTTACTTATCACAGTAAGATCGACTTTGCGAAGAACTGGACTGATGGTGTTCTCAGCATCTCCAATTTTACCCCAGCCGCTACCTCTAGCTGGCAACTTTTCGAAAGGTTCGTCCCTTTCAGAGAACTTTGGAAGTTTTGCAAGCTTAATATATTCTAAAATAGATTAATATCGGTTGGCATTATTATAACATATTGATTTAAACTATCATTTACCATTTAACGGAGCTGGTTTGGAGAGTTTCACAAGGGCAATATCGTTTTGGATACTATCGAAATCCCATCCTTCATGGACCGTGAACTCTTTGGATATAATTCGTACTTGTGTGGATTCTTCTTTTGTTATTTCATGAGCGCCCAAGACGACTTCGATTTCCACAGCACTGAATTTAAAAAAAAAGACATTATGATGTATTTGATTCATTTTATACGTTTCATTACTTGTCGGTACAGTGAGCGGCAGTCATCACATAGTTTTCAGAAATCAGTGTTCCTCCGCAGAAAGCTTTACGATCTGAGCCTGGTGTACTAATGTGAAGTCCAACCTACGATTTAATAAAATATTATACAAAAAATTGAAACAAACAGTATAAGTTTACTTGGTATGGGATAGAATGAGGTTCGACAACATCTCCTTGGATAATTCTGCCAAATCCAAAAGTATCGCATCCTAAAGAACGCAAAGTGTAAGGCTGCGTGAGGCTAAGACCCTACAATTAATTATTGTTGTTATTATTATCAACCTTAATAAATATTAGAATAATAATACCTTAGCGACAGCCAATAACAATAGAAAACAAAATAACTTTTCCATTTTGAAATATTTAAAAATGGCTGCTGCGATTTGTTCGGGATTATATAGAATTTCATTATCAATAGGTAGTAATGATAAGGGATAATCACTATTTAAACTGAGATTTCAATTGAGTATAATACTTGTGTAGTTGCATTATAAATTTTTTTATTACCTTCTGTATTTTTATATTCAGAATATCAGAAACATTATTTTATAAATTATTTAAGGTTGCTCTTCTCGTAGCTCTTTCTAAATCGCACATTTACAATTTGAAATGTATGAACGCACCAAAAGCTAGTTATGAGTTATTAGATGTACACTTTAGTCAGCTATATTGATTCATTTAATAAGTATCTAAAGTGGTTATGACTATGCTCAGCAATAAAGTTTATTTTTAGAGTGTATCGGCGTGTATTTTGATTTGAAAAGTTTGACAACTTATTTATTGGACTGCAAAAGCATAGCACATACATAAAATAATTAAAATATAAAATGTGTAATATAAAAATAACAGAACATAATAAAATATAATGAAGATATATGAAATATAGAAATTTTGCGATTTTACAATCGAGGAGGAAAAAAATATCAGAAGAATTTATTTAATTATAAAGAATTGTTATTTTTCATTTATATATTTTATAATTTGTATTTAAACAAGGGAGAAACAAATTAGTAAATTAGAGGCAAACAAAAGTTGGCAACAAATTTTAATGATCATGAAATACCCTTAATAACAGTTGTGGGATAAATTGTTGCAGCAGATAAATACTACAAACAAATCTTTTTCCGATTTTATTGGAGAAACATCCAATATTTACACACATTTCGATGGTAGGCAATCCTTTATAGTTAAAATGCATAATGTACTATGTGATGCACTCATATCTGAGATATCCAGGAGATCCACTGTCCACATGTCTTCAAAGATTTTCAATTTTTTTCATCGATAAATTAAGTAGCGATGAAATTACTGAATGAATGGATGTATTGAAATACGACAATGATATCGACATTAAATATTTAAAAAATGAAGTTCTTCATTTTATCAAATATGCCAAGTACGAATCGAATTATTTGCGTAATTCAATGAGTCAATTACGTTTAAGCAATTTGTCACTTACGTTTATAGTAAATGATGGTGTTCAATTGTTAGATTATAAATCTATTATTGATAAGTTTGCAAAAATGTGTTGCTATAAATAAAAATGTGTTTTTTTCAGCAACTAAGAATATTTTATTGTTTATTCCTAAAACGTTTTTGACCACACGGACCACTAAACTCAATATATTGAATCTCGCAGATCAGTAAACTAAAAATGTATAATCCCCCGGGATTCGGCGGCATTGTATTCCGCCACTGGCGTCAACAAGAATATATACATGTCGAATCGTCAGGAATGCTCCCGAGTGAGGCGTTCGGAGAAGCCATTATTAGAAACAACCACTAACAATAGTTAATAAATTTAGTAAATTAATCCTTCTGCAATCTCAGAGCTAATGATCTACATCAGGGATAAGTCTCAGCTACTGTGGCATTCCAGTTCACCAGTCTGAATCTGAGTGACTCCATTCCCGCTGATCCTTCGGCTGACGTATTTCACTCCCACTCCTCCGGGGGAAATACCCTTCTTCACTGAAGACCCCGAAGATGTGCTGCCCCGATCAACAAGACTTTCGAACAGCCATTTCTGATCTATGATTTATATGATTTGCACATGCCCTTAAGAGAAATCGCTAAGAGGGGGGTCTAAAGTGTCCGTCCTTGTTCTCCCAAGTGCTGACAACGTTATTCGGCAAAACCGTTATTTACACGCTCCAGCGAAACAACAGTTCTTTGTATGGCTGAATATACTTTCTCGGTGTTAGCTTTACTTCTTTTTTTTTAAATTAGGATCTGAATTATGGACAGGGTAGCGATAAGGGCACGTATTGTTCCTTGATTGCTGTCTGCCAATAGTGTGTGTAGGGAGATCGGTAGTTGTATTTCCATGTCCGTACAAATGTTCTGGGCAAGGCGTATGGCTTTGATCGGAGGCGACACATACTCGACACTTCTTTCTTGGTATTGATTCCGGTCTCTATGAACCAGGGTTTTCCATTTATGCTCTGGTTACGATGAAATAGTATCTACCCTTTATTTGCTCTGATCAGCGAATTTGTGTTGCCATTCTTGAGTATAATGTTACTTGGATTCCATAAAGAAGTCTGTAAATGGGAGGCGTAGGAAAGGATGATGGGGTACTTGTAGATAGGACCGCAACCAGACAGACAGCGAAGTCTTGCAACCAAATATACCGAGTAAACGCTAAATCAAAATTTTGGATTTTTTTTAAGAATTCCAAGACGGTCAAATACACGTCACGATTCCCAGATGCCATGATCCAAAATTTTCGATTTCAAAATGTTTAAAACTATAACAGTTTTCTTTTTTTCAATTATCCTACGCTACCACCTAACAGCGGCGGCGTTACATTTAGCGCGTTACTTGATGATATTTAGCCGCAATTTGCTGATTCATATTTTATATGATTAGAAACAGTTATGAAACCAGTTGAACTTTCCATGCTAATAGAATCAGGGCACTGCGAAAATTGAAGAGACTGCGAAAAAACATAAAGTTCGCTCTGAGATAGTCCAAAGTCAAACCGAAAAAGTTTGGGAATCTCTGGGTTATATTGTTCATGTTATATCTTTTAAGTTTTGTACCATTTTGTACTTGATAACGTGTTATCAACGAATTGAAATGCTTGTACGAATATTTAAAAAAAAAATAATAAATGTTAATTTGGTTCCAGATTTTTTCTAAGATGATGTGAATTAAAAAATTATTCATAATTAAATGGTGCTTATCGCTTCTTTTCTCGTTTTCTGATTATTTTTTTTCATATTGATTTTATCAACTAGAATATATAGGTGACCATACTCACTTTCAATCGTGCGCTCTCTTCCCGTTAGGGTCATTGCTTCGTACTGTTCGTTACGTCAAAAAATGGTCAAGGACAGTCGGTGAACGTTTTGATTGCTTGAGTGTTTTGTAGTTGTCATCATCATTATTACTGGTTACTTTTTGTGCGACGTTGAAGCCGGTAGGTCATCATCTCTAGCATAATATACGGTTCTAGAGAAAGGTGAGTCTTGATTTCGACTCAAGTAACACGTATCACAGTGTAATCTTGTATTCTCCATTGCAGGTTTCCATTATGAGTTCAAACTGCAAAGCGCTGTTATGGGCAACAGTAGCGCTGGTCCTTCAAATTGTCGTGGTCGCGTTACTTTTATTGGTCTTGCCTGGAGTTCCTCCAAAGGACGCCACTTTTGATGAAGCATACAAGTGAGTATCATTAATATTCATTATTGTTTTGCTATTGTACTGATTGTGTATATGAAATTCAATTGCAGAGTAACAAAAACTCTTCCACTTGAAGGCAAGCTTGCCTTAAATGATAAATTAGCAAAACTGCAGACTTGGCATAATGATAGGTTGATAGAACCAGAAGGTTTTGCAATTTATAAAGATGAGATTTATACATCACTTGGAACTGGAGAAATAGTAAAGCTGACTGGAAGTAAACATATAACTCATGTGGCGAAATTTGGTAAAGAATGTAAAGAATTATGGGATGAGCATATTTGTGGAAGGCCACTGGGTTTGACCTTCGACAAGAATGGTATCTTGTATGCCACAGATGCTTATTATGGCATTTTTAAAGTTAATGTTGGGACTGGAGATATTGAACAGCTTGTTGGTAAAGATGTGCAAAATGTGGGTAAGAATCCAAGGATATTCAATGGTATTGCTGTTACAAGTGAAGGAGTTGTCTACTGGACTGACTCCAGTACTAGTCTGGACTTGGCCAATGGTGTTTATGACATGCTGGCTGATCCCACTGGCAGATTATTAAGTTATGATCCAAATACTGGAAAGAACCAGGTATTAATGAACAAGATCCACTTTGCCAATGGTCTAGTACTTTCGGAAGACGAAGATTATTTGTTGATTTCTGAAACTGGAAGAAGCAGGATTCACCGTTATTACATTAAGGGACCCAAGATGCACCAGCACGATATCTTTTTGGATGGTCTTCCAGGTTTGCCTGATAATTTGAGCCGCGATGGAAAAGGAGGATACTTAATTCCTATGATCACCACCCACGACGCAGGATCGCCTAGTCTCGTTCAAATCTTCGGTCCTTTCCCAAAATTTAGAAAGATAGTCGCGAGATTTGTTGCAGTCGTCGATTCAGCTTTCCTGGTTATAGACAAATATTACCCAAATCGCGTCTGCAAGTTGATTAGTCACGGCATTGGAAATTTCAGATATATTCCTGAATATTTGAAACCTACGAGAATTTCAGTACTTCAAGTATCAGCGTCTGGCGAAGTTTTGGACTCATTGCATGGAAATAACTTGCCTTTCGTTGGATTTAGCGAAGCCCAAATTTTCAAGGATCAACTGTTGTTAGGATCACCGTTCCATGATTACATTGCTACAGTGCCATTGGTAGAAATTGGCTGGAAACATTTGGATCAGGATCCGTCGAGTAATGATGATCCGACCAAGATTATACCGCTATCGACTGAATTCGAAGATGAAGCATCACGTCCCATTCACGCACCGAAACCGACCCAAGCTCCAAAGGCAAAGACTACAACTACTGCACCAACAACAACCACGGCCCCAAAAGTTCAAACTCAGGCGCCAACCCAAGCACCCAAACCGAAGCAGACTGCACCACCTAAGCAAACTCCAAGACCCACACATGCTCCAAAACCAACACAGCCTCCGAAACTGCAGGAGACCAAACAGACTCCAAAAGCAGCTCCACCTACTCAAGCCCCCAAGAAGACACCTCCACCTACTCAAGACCCTAAGAAGACACCTTCACCCACACAAACCCCCAAGAAGACACCTCCACCCACACAAACCCCCAAGAAGACACCTCCACCCACACAAGCCCCAAAGAAAATACCTCCACCTACTGTAAAGCAAGCAGCTACCCAAACACCCAAAGTGCAAGCGCAAAAATCTAAAGTAGAAGTACCGAAAACCACCAGTACACCTCCAGCTACTAAACCGCAAACCAAAGAAGCGCCTAAACCCACCCCTAGTCAATCCAAGCCCACGAAGGATGTTCCAAGAAACGAACTTTAAAAAGTATTGAAGCACTGCATTGACTCATATTTTATCGCCTGTGATAAAAGCAGCTATAAATAACAACAGCAAACAAACCAACGTGTAACAACAATAATGCAGTGAGATTACACTGCATGCCAATATCAAATTCCAACGATTAAAAACAATACACTTACATTTCCAGAAAAAGTAAATAAAAAAAAATAATAATAAAGTTAAATGTTAAATTAGTGTGTCATGTCAAATAATCATGTGTCCTCTGTGTTGTGTTTGATATTCCATTTTATATTCTTTTTTTAATGATTATTGTATATTTTTATTGTTATTATTTTTTATTGGGTGTGAATTTAGTGGATGCGTTTATTTAAAAACGCAATTTCCTTCGATTTAATTGAATTATTTTGATTATGTTTTAATAAAAATAATTAATAAATAGTTAAAAATGTAAAAGTAACGAGTTTTGTTTTTAATTGCGATACAAAATTACAAATGCTTTTTGGCGTACAATTTGGCTGCGTTCATGGCGTCGTTGAGAAGTCCGTGCCAATCGGACATACTCACCTTCTTCGCTTTCAAATTGCAAACCAGAGTTGCGTCCTGTCCTTTGGGCGGAGCCACGGACGACTTAAAGATATCTCCGAATACTTTCAACCATTTCTCCGCATTAAATTGTTCATTAGTGTAATTCTAAAACATGTTTGGAATCGTTATTGATCGATCTACGAATATTTAAGTTGTATTTACCAGAGGCACGCAGCATCTTGCCTTAACAATGCTGTCCGAGTAGGATATTACTAGAACAGGAACATTCTGACAGATCTTCGTAGCCCTCTGCAGCGGCACGGATTCCAAAATCATTGACGTTCGCAGATAGTGAACGATAAAAGTCTTCTCGCTTTCGCTCTTCATGGCCTTTGTGTGCATAACGCTCTGCATCTCCATATCGATAAACTCCCTAGGCGTCTTTGAAAGTTATTAATTTCAATGAGCTCGGTGCGAACTTACTTTAAACTATTCCTAGCCACTTCCTTGATTTGTCTTCCAATTTTGCTCAGTTGCTCAGCACATTCCTCCTTTACTAGATACGGCATAATAGTTTCATCCTCTATATTGTAATTTAGGTGCAATTTCAGGCTGGCCACTGCCATTTCTAAAACTTCCGGCTGAAAATGGAATAGATGTAAAAAAATGTATTACGGACCATATAGAATTATTAACTTTATCTATATTATCATTTACGCTTTTCTGTAACTGGGCCACATGATTCAACAATTCTTGCCCAGTCTCCCGGGCTTTCTTAGCCCTCGGGCCGGTTACGCAATACAAAGAACTGGTGCTTCTACCTAATGACTTGAAAGAAACCATGCAGAAATCCCCGATATCACCAGTATTTAAAACATGGGTTCCGCAACAAGGTTCTCTAAAAATAAATTCAATTTAACAACCGATAAAAATAAACAGCAAACAGTTTTACCTAGATAGCAAATCGTTTGACGTAATCTCAATTAGTCGTATCCCCTTTTCGGGGTAAACTTCTCCAGGCACCAGAGTAACTTGGTCCAAATTCAGTAGACTCTGTGCATCAATTTCATCAATCTTAACGTCCACTCTATCCTTTATAATCTTTTTAATCCTATCCTCTATAAAGGCGATATCCTTGCTCGACAACTTCTCACCGAATATCCCAACATCCAGATTCAAATAACCGGCGCAGACTTTACTGGATTTCTGGCATGTGGCACCTTTCATCTGCTTCAGACAAGCGTTTAGTAGATGAGTGGCAGTGTGATTGCGCATATTGCTAAACCGCGCCTCCTCGTTAAACTTGACCACGCCCTGCTCGTGTACATTCAGCTGAAAATTGGATTTGTACACGCCCTTATGCAGGACGTAATTATTGATATTCCCTACGTCTACAACTTCGAATTTTCCTGCACCGAATTCGATGCAACCAACGTCGCTCACTTGTCCTCCGGACTCATAATACATATTCGTCTTATCAAGAATCAAAGTGCACGGCTTGTTCGGCTCAATACAACTCACGAATTCGTTCTCATCCAATATATTCAACACCTCAGCTCTCACCTCATCAAACACATACTTTCCGTCCACCTTTCCGTACATGTACTTGTACCGATCATCGGTCGACTTTCCCATCTGCTTAAAATCAATTAAATTGCCATCGGTGACACTGGTAAGTTTGCTGCGCCTCTTAACTGCATCAAACTCATTTCTGAATCGAACCTCATCAAATTCTAATTCCAAACCAACACTCAATTTCTTAATACACGGCTCATCCAAGCCGTACGTATCGAACAGTTTACATCCAAATTCCGGTGTGATTTCGGTTAAATTCGAGTTCGTGATCTCCTTGAAAGCATGCACCAATCCGGGCATCTCAATTACATCCAAATTAGCCAATGCTGGATAATCTTTCGAGATTTTCAGCCAATCGCTGGCCGCGTTCCGTCTTAAACTTTTATAAATATCTTCCTCAAAATCTATAATCTGATGTATCTAAACAAATTTAAACAATTTATAAACTTATTTACATATTATGTGGCAAAAACTAACTTGAATAAAATTGTTCTGCATTTCCGGATAGACTGTGCCCAAAGATTCGATAACGTAATTCGATAATTCCTTCAACAAACCTTGTTCCTTTTTAAACATATTTTCGCTAATCGCAAACGACCTACGCATGATTTTTCGCAGTTTCGCACTTAAAATAACGCAAAATTATTTTCTTTTCAAAATTAATAAGATTATAATACTTTTGCTCTGGAATTACACCATCTGCCAAACAAGCTGTGATCATTCTAGCGTGATCCGACAAAATTCTGTAACTAGTATTCAATTGATCCCAATCTTTCTCTCCATACAAATTCTTATAAGCTGGAACTTTTCCAGATATCTAAACATAAATGTAATATATTTTTTTGTTAATATAGAAGAAATAGTATCAGTTAAGTATAGTATAATACATTTTCTAATTACCTTTTGAATTCCTGTAAATAACGTTTTGAACACATCCGTTTCATAATTGCTCACTTTTCCTTGCAAAATCGCAACCAATCTTTCAAATCCCATCCCAGTATCAACATGTTTATGAGGTAAACTGGATATTTTACCTTCTGAATCTCTAAAATTTAACATTATTATTATTATTTTTAATATCACCACTTGTATATGATTAAATTGTACCTGTTGTACTCAATAAAAACTATATTCCAAAGTTCAATTAACTCATGCAATCCTTTATTGACGAATTCCTTTCTATTAACAAGGCCCCTATGATCAAAATGAATTTCAGTGCAAGGACCACAAGGCCCACTGGCGCCCATCTCCCAAAAATTTTCTTTCATACCAAATGGCAAGATTCTGTCCTCTGGCACACTTAAAAAATATATTATGTAATTTGAATTTCATTCTATATGAATAAAAATGAAATTACCCTAAGCTTTGCCAAACATCTTTGCACTCTAAATCTGGTTCCAATTCCATTGCCTCATCTCCCCCAAAATAAGTAACATAAAGTGCATTTTTATTAATTTTGAAACCATCTGTGAGTAATTTCCAGGCCAAAGAGCAGGATTCTTTCTACAATTAAATTGATATAATAAATATAGACATTTCCTATCAGTTTTCTCACTTTTGAGCATTGTCCAAAAGACCAATTTCCTAGCATCTCAAAGAAAGTGTGATGATACCCATCTAATCCAACATCATCCAAGTCATTATGTTTTCCCCCCACACGTATGCACTTCTGTGTATTTACAACCTTTTCAAACCTGGCTTCTTGTGTTCCCAAAAAAATACCTTTAAACTTTTGAAAACAAATTAGTTATTGCACAGTTGTTCATGACAGAAGCATATGTATGTACCTGGTTCATTCCAGCATTGACAAAGGGTACAGTGTCATCATAGAAAGGTACAACGGGGCTGGATCTGATGAAATTGTAATTGTTTTCATTGATGAAGTAATCCAAGAACCTCTGCCGGGCAACTTTGGATGATAGATACTTGTTTGGGTAGTTGCTCAAATTTCGTCTCGTCAACTGCGATATTGACCTTGTTAGCACTTTGTTGCTATTTAATCGCAACATACTGGGAATTTGGATATTTAAAAAAATTACGGATCCGCCGTTTTTGATTGTACAGGTTATATTTTTTATTAGAACTACTGAATAAATAAATCAACAATTCCATATATAGTTTCTCTACAATGTATAATATTAAAATGTTTATATATATTAAACATTTAAGAATGCATTGAATATTATTCTTTATGAAAAATAAATTGGTAATGAAAATCACAAGGCAAAGTTCCAATTAAGATAACTTTCATCATATAGTTAATTATTTAATTTTAATATCGCCAGCTCAATATTTTTTATTTAATTATTAATTTAGTAATATAATTTCGTAATGAAATATGATTGTAATTTAAGTATAATTAATTTTATTAAGAGAAATCATTAGAACTAACAAATAAATAGAACTAATTTTGACATAATAATAAACAAAACTTGTGAGCTAAGTGGAGTTACGATAATAATTTACATTTTAAAAATGAGTGGCGACGACAAGAAGAATATCATTTCCGAGTTTAAGTTGGATCCGGAGGCCGAATTGCGATTCGAGATCGAAACGAAGAATGAAAAAGTTTTATTAACCTTAAAATCAGGTTCAGCTGAAGTTTTTGGTACTGAATTGGTAAAGGGAAAGACTTACGAGTTCACGTCCGGTGCGAAAATAGCCGTGTTCACTTGGCAAGGTTGTATAGTTGAGTTGAAGGGAAAAACTGATGTGAGTTATGTGGCAAAAGAGACGCCGATGGTGTTGTACATGAACTGCCATGCAGGTTTGGATCAGATGAGACTGAATGCGGAGAAGAACAACACCAAAGGACCAATGTGTATGGTTGTTGGTCCTAATGATGTGGGCAAATCAACAGTGTGCAGAATCTTATTGAACTATGCAGTGAGGATGGGTAGAAGACCACTTTATGTGGATGTTGATTTGGGACAGGGACAGATCTCTGTTCCTGGAACAATTGGGAGCATTTTAGTAGAGAGACCAGCGCTAATTGATGAGGGTTTCCCACAGGAAGCGCCTTTGGTTTATCATGATGGACATAAATCACCAGGAGATAACCCTGCTCTTTATAAGAAATTACTAACACAATTAGGAAGTACAATCAAAGATAGATTAGAAATTAATAAGAAAAGTAAGTATTTTATTTGGTAATATATGTTTATTTGCAAATGATCATTATTTATTTTTAGCAAAAATGTCTGGGTGCATTATAAACACCTGTGGATGGATCAAAGGGGTTGGATACAAATTTATTTTACACACGATGGAAGCGTTCAATGTGAACGTGATTTTGGTGTTGGATCAGGAGAGGCTATATAATGAACTAGTCAGAGATTCACCGAGGTTCGTCAAAGTTGTGTTTCTTCCTAAAAGTGGTGGAGTTAGTATTTCGGTGATTCTCTTAATGCGTGAATATTAATAATTTTATAATTATAGGTTGTAGAGAGGTCTAAAGGAGCTCGGGGTGAATACAGGGACCAAAGAATTCGCGAGTACTTTTATGGAACACCGAAGAACGCGCTATATCCACATTCATTCGAAGTGAAGTTTTCGGACGTGAAAATATTCAAAATCGGAGCTCCAGCATTACCAGATTCCTGTTTACCATTGGGTATGAAAGCACGCGATCACCTTACCAAGCTCGTGCTGATAACACCAAATCCAGGACTTCTTCACCATCTGCTCTCAGTCAGCTTTTCTGAGAAAGATGACGATGATATGATCTTATCGCATTGTGCAGGATTCATATGTGTGTAAGTAGAATATTGTTTATTTCATCTTTTATTATTGATATAGGTATGATACAAATAGAATTGATAGGACTATCCATGACACATCTGTTAATATTGCCTTTAACAGTTTATATGCGAGTTTTTGCTGTTGCTATATTTATGACCAAGACAAGGATTTTAATTTCACGAATGTATATTTCAGTTCGTGAACGTATTTTCACATTAACATTCTGTCTATCAAAAGATATTTAGATTATATACGATTTTCAAATATTTTTTCAGAACAAACGTAGACGTCGAGAGACAACAACTGACAGTATTATCGCCGCAACCAAAACCCCTGCCCAACAATTTATTACTGCTATCTGAATTGCAGTTTATGGACAGCCACTGAATACTTCAGATGAGTATATTATTTCTTTTATATATATTGACAGTAATGAATAAAATTATTATTTTGGTGTACACATGTGCTAATATTTTCTTCGCATTGCGTTTGGTATCATCCGTAACGCAATATTCTTGTTTTATTTAATTTGACCGCAAGAAATAATAAAAAAAACTTCGTAGATACAATAAAAATAAACGAAAAATAACAATAAATTACAAATGTAAATCACAAGAGTGTCACTAGAGATGAAAAGTAGTTTAAAAATAGTAGTAATGGAGTAGTGTCTTTGATTACACCGCAAGTTCACGGGGTCTCCTAAAATAAATTATTCCAGCCAGAAGAATAGTCAGTGCTGTAATTAGGTATAAATCCCAGTTATTCCCAAAAGTTTCGCTAACGAAAAAAATCGCAAAGGGGCTCTGAAAGTAAATGTCGTGTCATCATCATTTGTTCATTGTAATGTGGAAAAGTACTGCTATTACCTCTTGCAGACATTGCCAACTAAACATCAAGCTCAGTTTCAAGAGCGCTAAAGATACAGGAACCTTCGCATCGGCGTTCGTCTCCGCAGCCAAATCATACAATCTCTTAGCCAAGTGCATGTCCTGAACCATGCCTAAACCTTGTTCGTGCATGTAACCTAAGTTGAACATAGCCTGCGCATTGTGCTGCTGCTCAGAAGCTATACGGTAATGGGATGCCGCAGTTTCATAATCAACGGCAGTTCCCAGTCCATAGTAATGGTAATCACCCAATTTAACCTGAAGAAATGAATTTATTAGTAATGATTATAAGAAAACAAATCTTTGGGATTTGTTTTACTTGGGCTGGCGAATATCCTTGTGCCGCCGATCTGCTCCAGTACAGTAGTGCTCTAGAAAGTGCTTCACTTTCGCTCATCATCGGCACTTCGTCTCTGTCCAAAATAAAACCAGTATTGCTCTGAGCCACTTCATATCCTAACTCTGAGAGTAACGCATATTGTACGAAAGCTTCATTAAACCTCTTATTCCGATAATCTTGATGCGCCTAATAACAAAAAAAAATGCCATCTATGGACTGAAGTTCACCGCAATGATAATATACGCACGTGCATCAGAGTTTCTCCCCAACGTCCGCGCTCAGCTACATTTTTATAAAGCTCAACGGCTGTCGTGCAAGAACGCATCATTCCCGTGCCTTGCGAATGCATCTGTGCTAAATTGTAATATGCTAAAACGTGACCGGACTGCGACGCCAACGAGAAATATTTGTTGGCCAACTTGTAATCTTTGGTCACTCCAATTCCATCTAAAAACAATTAAACGATTATATGGAAACATTATGTTGAAACTATAACAACTTACTTAAATACATGTTTCCGAGCTGCAATTGCCCATCGACCCAACCTTGATCAGCAGCCGCCAAGAAGTACTTGTGCGCTTTTACGTAATCCTTCTCAACACCTCTTCCGTACAAGTACATAAGACCAAGACCACTTAAACCTACGGGGTTGTTCATCTCGGATGCCTTTTTGAAATACTTGAACGCAGTGTCGTTGTCCTGCTTAACCTCGTCGCTACCATCCAGATAAATCTGAAAGAAGCAATTATAACTTCAACTTGAAGAATCAATTAAAAATAATTACTTTGCCCAAATAGGCCATGGCGATCGCATTCCCTGCGTTTGCGGCCTGCGTGAAATAATGCAAGGCCTTCTCGTAATCCAGATCCAGACCACGCCCTCCTTGATAGTGCAATTGACCCAATCCCACCTATATTTAATTTATGAATTACAAAGGAACCCAACAATGATAAAGATGAACATTACTTGAGCCTTAATATCTCCCTTTTCCGCTAAAAGTTCATAATACTCTATTAGATCCGTGTCAATTATGCTTGACGAGTATCCATTCTCCAATTCATCCAAGAGCCTGACCCTTTGCACAGAAGAACCTCCGGTGAACGATACTCCTTGACTTACTAAAAATCAAAATTAATCAAAGAGTTCATTATGAATCTAAGGTTTCACCACACCTTTAGCTGCAACTTGTCTGTAGTATTCAAGAGATTTCTCACAGCTGTTGGGGACTGTGATTCCGAACCAATAGCGATAACCCATGATCATCTGAGCCCAAGAGTGTCCACCAATAGCAGCCATTGTAAAATGGACGAGTGCTCTTGATTGGCTAATATTCATTCTGGCAAGCCCAGTAGCTGCAAGGAAACCCAATCCCATGTGCCCGTCGGGATGGCCATTGCCCGCTAAATCGTAAAAGATCTCTTTGGCATCATTCATATTTTGATTCATGGTGGTACCAAATAGATAGGCCCAAGCAATCCTAGCCTTGGCGTCACTGTTGCCCTTTTCCATTGCCTGTATAAGCAATTTCGTGGCGTCCTCCCTATTTGGTTTAGTCTTATTGAGAAGCTTGATAGCAGCCTCATAAAGAGCTTTGCCTTCTTTCTGAGTTTGTGTGAGTTCAGGTTCAATAATTTCTGGCGGTGGAGGTAGTGGTTCATCTTCTTCTTCTGTTCCTTCTATGATCTTATACCTTAAATTGTTCACTGCCCGTTCCATTAACTTTTCATAATATTTCTCTGAAAAAAAAATAAAAGTATATTTCAATAAATATTGCATTGATGCATGAATAAACGGTGTCTTACTACTGGCTTCAGTTTGTTCTTCTAATTCTGGGGTTTGCACCATATTGAACTCAGGTGGTACTTCTCCAGCCACCTCCTGTATGCTTGCAACAAACTTGGTCTTATCCTCTCCATCTTTGATGGTCTTAGAGCCATCCTCTTCCTCACCTTCCGACGATTTTTTCAAATCGGCATTGACGAAGCCGTTTAATAAAAACACGGAAATCAGCAGCGCCGCTTTATAACGCATATTATTGTTTTCCCACTTTCACGTACTGTTCGCGTTTTCACCTGATACTTACGAACGCAACTTTCTGCTCACAAACATAAGATTAAAAACTTTTTATCACTTACGTGTCCTTAACAACAAAAACGTCACTATCGTAAAATAATTGCTAAGGGCAAAACAACGTGCATAACATTAACAGATTGAATGAAATAATTACAATGGGTTTTAATCGAAATGTGTAGCAAAAAAGGATAATTTATCTTATAATAAATTCTTGATACAAAAATATTTGATGTTTCTTTGGTAAGCTGAAGCTGAAGTCGGTATTTTGACAGATGACAGCAAAATTTTCAACGTCATTAGCATTTATAAAGAAATCATATATATTGCTCTATTTCATTAACGATAATTATTGTATACAGATAATCATAATATTTGATTCCTAATTCTACATTCGTCTGTTCTACAATTTCGTATAAATCCAAATATTGATACAACTAAAGTATATATGCAACCAAATACTCAAAAACAATTTATCTCGGAGACAATTGAAATAAAATTTATTCACGAAAAAATATCTATCGTAAAATTATTAATACGATTTCACAAAACAAGTGTCTTTACGGATTTAATTTTCTTATAAAATAATTAGTAAATTTATTAAGGAGAAATTACAAGTACAATAAACCTAGGCGTAATAATTAAGATTAGCTTTCTTTTTCGATTGCACCTCCATTATAGCATCCATGTAGTCCTCGTGGGTAACTGCGTTGGCGTTACGTCTCAGTGCAATCATACCAGCTTCAACGCAAACGGCCTTGCATTGGGCTCCGTTGAAGTCATCAGTGGATCTTGCTAATTCCTCGAAGTTCACATCAGCATTAATTGTCATCTTTCTGGAGTGGATTTGCATGATCCTAGCCCTGGCCTCTTCATTTGGATGAGGAAACTCGATTTTTCTATCCAAACGTCCTATAAACAACCATTTAATTTTTATAAATCTGCTTTAACAAGATGGTCTCAATGAGGCGAAACATTGTCAAATACAATTTTAAAATAATTGTATTCATAAATATTTTGGTTTAATGAAATCAACAAAAATAGTAATTACCTGAACGCAATAAAGCCGGATCCAAAATATCAACCCTATTAGTGGCCGCAATGACTTTAATGTCAGCTGTGGAACTGAACCCATCCAGCTGGTTGAGCAACTCCAACATGGTTCTTTGTACTTCCCTATCTCCAGCCTTTTCGGAATCAAATCTCTTCGTACCGATAGCATCCAACTCATCGATGAAAATAATAGCCGGCGATTTTTCCTTTGCCAAAGCGAATGCATCTCTTACTAGTTTGGCGCCATCACCAATAAACATTTGAACCAACTGTGGTCCAGCCAACTTCAAGAACGTAGATTTGGTCTGTGCAGCGCAAGCCCTTGCCAATAAGGTTTTACCAGTTCCAGGGGGACCATACAATAAAACACCTAGAAAATTAACATAACACTGATCAATGTAATAAAAATTATTTAATGTTTACCTTTTGGTGGATGAATGCCGAGATTCAAAAATTTCTCTTTATGTGTCATGGGTAAAACAACAGCTTCAATCAGTTCCTGGATTTGCTTATCTAACCCACCAATATCAGAGTATTGTTCTGTCGGACGCTCATCAACTTCCATAGCTTTAACTCTGGCATCATACTCAGCTGGCAGTGTTTCAAGAATCAAATAAGAATCTTTGTTGACTCCAACAAGATCTCCTGGTTTAAGTTTCTCCTCATCCACGAGGCCAATGACTGGCAAGAAATATGTTTGCCTTGTTGATGTCTTGACAACAGCACACTTGCCTTTACGCTGGGCGTCGAGGTCTACCACAGCCCCATCCTCCTCTTCTTCTTGAGGGTCTACGTCGAGCAGCTCAATGACATTAGAAACTAAATACGGCAGCGTCTTATTCACCTTAATCTTCTCTGTGTTTTCTTTGATCTTCTCGTTTTGCGCTTGCAATTCATGATTTATCCGCATAACCTCGCTTTTCATGATTTTAATTTCATTGTCCAGCAAACGGGTACGACTCACCACCTCATCTGTACCCATACGAAGGACCTCTTCGCCCAGCGAATCCTCGCCATCGTCCCAAATCGATTTATCCTCCAATTTTGCCATTTCTCTAACCACCAATGTTTTCTATTTATGCAAAGTAATCAACCCAAAAATTCTCGAATACACAGACACCAACCAACTGCAACTGTCAAAACTTTCTGTATTTTAAAGCCGAGTCATCAGCACCACAACAATTCTGACATGGTTACTAAAATATTTATTGTTCGAAAATAGAACTATGTCAAAGGTTCCCCGACAAGCGCCATCTACAAATTTATCTTATAAGAATAAGTTACTTTAGTTTGACTAATGGTGACGCCACTATTCAATTAACTATTCTACTCTTCATAACACTCAACTATAATTGACTGTAATCGCCTGTATCGATTGTGTCGTGTCGTTGGTTCGATTCCCAAAAACCAACAAAATTTGTGGGGGCCGATAAACCCGAAAAGGGGTAGAAATAGGGCCAAAGATATTAATTAAGAGATTCTAATTTAAAAAAAAACACTCAAGTACGATTTGAAAATGCAAAACAAAGTCGTTTCATATTTTTTTTTTCTTTAATAGTATGAATTGGTAATCCTATAAATAAATAATTTATTCGGGCTTTTTTTTTACTAGTACTTCATATTTCTGTTTTTTTGTAATGTTTGCTTTTTCCTCTTCACCTTGTATCACGTTCTGTTTTATCATGTCCTGGTATGCTATGTTCTGTGGTGGTGAGTTCTGTTTGGTCCGGTCACTCTGGGCTATTGCTGGAAACTTTATATCCAAAAATTATCTTCAAATTGAGGATAAAAATATGTTATCGTGCATGATAGATTATATCAAGATAATGTGTCATGCACAATACTAATAGCTATAATTGTTAATATAATATTGGAATGCATTATTATTTGTGTATTAATAGAGTATTAATAGATTCTTGATAAATACTTTGAAAAAGAAACATTGGTAATAAAAACTAAATAATAATAAAAAATAACTTTATTTAATATACATTGACTTATATACATACACGAAATGACTAGTTTAATATATACAAATTGAAAGAAACTACAATATAACAAATAAATACTATTGATTATCTGTAGAAATCGTAGGAATTATTCAAACAATAGAATTTGGTCTTTTGGTTTCAGCTGCACGATCAACAATTACAAAAAGGAGTAATTGTAATTGAAAAACATAAACATAATGATATTAATAAATTAGTCTAGGCGCTAAAAACATGACTCAATCCACGGAGTACATTGCGGCGCATAGCCTCAGCTGGAAGTCCTTGTACAGAAGTTTTCCACCGAGAGGTACTCGACTCAGGAACATCGTGGGGGACATCAAGCAGAGAGCTTTGCCGTTCATAAGAAACCTTGTTTGCGGTACTTCCGGTAGGCCGTGCGTGGACGCGACCTCATTAAGCCATTGCGCCACATGCTCTCTCGACCAATGTCTCGGATCTAAACAAAAGAAGAAAGCAGTAAGTAAATTGTTGCAAATAACGAGATCATCGAAAACCGTACCTTTGGGAAGAGAATCTTCCTGTCTTCTGGATCTGTAGATGGTGGTTGTTGGCTGGGCCCATTCGGAGGAAGGCCCGTACCTCACTGGGACTGACTGAGCGGTCTGCATTGTTTCGACGAGTTTTGTTTTGGTGATGTAGAAACCTATGGTTGCAGCTAATTCGAGCTGAAATTTAAAAAACACATTGATTAAAATCAGGGATCGAAGGCGGAAATGGCTGTTATCATGAACATAAAATTAAACAAAAAAGAGAACCCCCAGAACTTTAAAAGATATTGTTCTTTTTTTTGTAACGGAGGAAGAAAAAAAGCGAGTTTAAGATTTAAGTGCTTAAGGAAGACGTTAATAAACGTCCATCAATTAGTTTATCTTCTCGTCCACATGTTGAACATCTTCGGCGATTTGTTTGGCCGTTATTGGGGAGGAGAAAGGAGATAATCATTTTCCGAGAGGATAGATAAAAACACCCCGTAATATACGGTCGACGCCTTTCCGCCAAGGCGAGACCCCAACAATTTTTAACCAATCTCCACAATCTTTTGCAGCCGAGAGGACCACTTAAAAACTTATTTTCGTGCCACCCCAGAAAACGGAACAGATGCGATGATAATCACGTGCGATTTTTCTTTTCCCGCCCAGTAGGCCGGAAACTATCAATTTTTTCGCCACCCATGAAACATTTACAGATCAATTTGAAGCATTCGTTGCATTAAAACTTGTTACCCTTTTCCGGTCTCCCCTTCCATTTGCCGTTTAAATCATATATGATAATTATTTTATTTACATTTATTTATAAATACACTATTTACACTATTATATAAATATATTATATCAATAAGTGCAAGAACTGTACTTGTTTGTTTATGAAGTAATAACCTTTCAAAATAGATTTCGAGCGAATGGTATCTGCTAATGATATGGAAAGAAAACTGAATGAGCTGGTTATGGTCAGGGAGGGTAATTAAAAGCAAATATGAATAAATGAGAACCGGAAATGGTTGCTCAATAGAGGAAACCCGATATGAATGACACACAAACGAACGGGCGGAATGCGTGGAAGCGACGAAAATAAATAAATGAACAAAAAAAAAGAAGTAGAGACCGGTCGAATAATAATAATAGTGGCGATGTTAATTGAAAATCGTTTGATAATAAATTTCCGGCCGGCGCCGGGAGCATTGCAAGGATACGGATATCCTGCGCACATGGCGTCCTTTATATCACATCACCATGGTACCCATTAAAAGGTAGTCGCGTAGAGCAAATAACAAACAAAACAAAACGGATAATAATGCAAAAAAAGGAAGAGCGACAGAAACATCGACCGCCGCGAAAAAAAGGAAAACGAGAACGACACGACGACACCGATTTGGATCGAAAAGGAATTCGATTGAGCGGCAAACCGTAAATCGGGATGGGTGGATCGTGTTACTAAACGAAAGACGATTAGAGTGCAAATTTGTGCGTCACGTCCGCCGAAAACGAAAAGAGAGGAAATGCAGAAAAAAGAACGAACATACACGTGCTTTTTGGGATGTCGTTATTATAGACGACGCACAGTTCTCTTTTTTCTTTCTAAGTTTCCTTGTACGGAATTTTTCGCCAAGGTGGATTAGCGGAAACGGAGTAACACCCCTTCCTGCCTGAAAACCCACCCCAAAAAAAGTCGCATCCCCTCGAGAGTGCTGAAAATAGCATTTCAGAAAAAGCACCCACGGAGACCAAATGAAGGAGGAATGTCGAGAGTCGAGCACAGGAACAGGAAGCGCGTGTCCAGACGTCTGTCGGTAGCGCGCGTTCGGCCTCGCTTTATTATTAATTCCGATCAATTAAGACGAATTTCGTGGTTGACCTAGAACCGGAAATGGCCTAGCGTAGGTCTTCAACGATCGAAAACATCGAAGATGATAATGTTGATGATGACGATGATCCGCTTCGGTTCCTGAATGGGCCGGTGCTTCCGGCCGTGGCCGTCTTGCTCGCATTACCATTTAATTCTGCCTTTGTATGGTAATAACCAATTTACATAATTTGAGGATAAACCCGGGGAAGAACGAAAGAAGAGGAAAGTGTGCAAGACGACCGAATGGGTCTTCGTCTGCTGCTACTTCTGCGCGCACGCGGATGCAGGAAGTCCATTGTTTTCTTATAACTTAATAAATGCTAATTGAGAAGACGTACATAACAATAATGAGAAAGAAGGAGAGAGAAAGCACGAAACCCAAGAGAGGATGGTTTGATGATGATGGTTCCGAAAGCACGGTTTCCGCGCCAATTAAACCCGCAACGTTCTCGAACGCTCTCACAAGGAATCACACAATACATTCCCTATCAATGCAATACCGTAAAAAATAAAGAGAAAAAGAAACGCAGAAGGCAGTGCTCGAGGAGTGAAGATGAAGAGAGGCCTTGTTGTCATAGTACATTCACACCAGCAGCTTTTTTTCTCTCCTTCCTTTTTCAGTCACCGACCAAGTTTGACACTTCAGGAACAAATATTTACTCTATGAATATATATTTTTAAAAAACATTTAAGTGGTTTTAGTAGAAACTACTTTGCACCAACACATCCCATAACCAAATTGTTTACATACACAAAATGAATAGTTTCAGTCTTCATCAATTCTAAAGTAACTAATCATGTACATGTCATGTCAAGCATCTTATAACATATATTGAATATACGTCATAAGACTGCCATAGCAAATTAAAATAAATTCGTTTCGTCTGAGAAATAAATATTTATTTTATTATTAATAAAAAGTTTTGAATTTGTTAAAATTGGTACATTTTTTAAATTAAAGTTTCAATTGATTTCAACCAACCAAACCAAATAAATATGACAGTATAGTGCCATTCAAAACGAATTGTAATTTAAATTATTTCATAAATCAGCAATAGATTTTTTGCTCCCAAAAAGACTGATTTAATTATAAATAATAATGAAGTATTTAATTTAATCAAAATTTACTACATTTGAATAATATTAATTAATTGCAATTTATGCACAAGAGCAAGAAAAACAAACACAGGACGCTTCGTAGATTATTTTGGTGATGTTCTCCTTTCGCGTTATTTTGACTATTTGCCTCGACTACAAAAATAAATGCGGCAAACACCTGGTGCGAACGAAAATTACGAACGGCTTTACTTGCACACAAATGCATTTTTGTCGAAAGTGTTGAGATCGTGTGAACTTTTAAAAGTTCTGTTCTCCAAAAACTCTTTTCTTCTTCTCCTCGTGCATTAAAATTGAAAATAATACATATAACTATTTTGTAAGACGATTAATCGCAAAGAGTGCAATCACCGAGACTGATATAAACAATAAAAATACACTTGGAGACAAAATAAAGGTGAATTAGCAAATCGTTTCAGCACGAATGTTAAAAAAATAATAAAATTTTGTAACTTAAATTCATTGAACTTGTTTTTGATCAAATTTGAGATAATAATGTGTGTTGAAAATGTGCAAGTGAAGTTATATTGATTTTAGATTGGAAGTAATTTCATTTGTAGATCCTTTGTTGCTGCAGTTATAATAAATATTAAATGGTTTGGTTGATTAACGAGTTAAAAGAAGGCAACGAATTCGCCTGGTAATTGATTCATTTTATCTTTTGGGACAAAGGTTAAATGATCAAATTTCAAGTAATTCATGGAGTTGCAGCTCCGGCGTTAAGTTAATAGAAGACGAAGGGAGCAAAAAGTAAACCGAATCGATGTTCTTTTTCGAGAGAATATTTACGATGGAAATAAATAAAAGCGGAGCAAGGTTTGTGTATATGTATATACGAGCTCCATCCGAAGTGTTTATTATTGATTTACTTAATCAATGAAGTTGAGTAGATAAGGACGAAAGTGAATGAGGGATATTGTAAATAGTAAAGATAAAATTAAAAAAATGTGGACGACTTCCTTTTGCAACACTATCTAATATAACTAGATATTTGATTAAACGTTAATGATTGACATAATTACCTTTTTTTGGCAGTGTGTTGTTTCCAAGTTATTTTTGCCGGTCGCTTGGGTTCTGGCAAAAATCCAATTTTCCCACCAAAACAGGACACAAAATTCACACGTACGTAGTTTCGAATTTGGCGCGAGAAAGAGTATTGAGAACGAAGCGAGCGAGTGAGCGAAGCGTAGCGTTCTCTTCGAATGCGCTTGTTCGAATGACGTCTGGTCGAGGCAACCCCGTAGTTTATATACCCGTCCCATCGATGGGCTCAACCCTTGGCGCGCGCTTCCGGCTTTTGCCCTGCGCATTTATTTTTTACCCCCTCGTCGAAGGATGTTTGCGACCGGGAAGCAAATACCAAAAAAAAATAAAACGAGCTCGATACATGACTATTCGGTTTGTTTTTGTTTGCTCTGTTATTTTTTTCCGCAAAAAAAAATACGTGTCCCTTTTTCTCTTCACATATTTATTATCCTTTTTGTTTCGCCTTGTTTATTATAAATAAAAATTCCGCACAGAAATACGCGCGCTCCGTCGTTTCCGGTCCAACGAAAACAAATAGCTATTTCCGTTAAAGAGGATAACACTATTATTTTAAATTAAGGATTGTACAACTACCAAAATACATCTTATAAACAATCACGTATTTTTACAATTACGAAAAACCAGAAGTAAGGATAAAATATATCATGTAATAAAATATAAATATAAATAAAATATTTTTTTAATAAAAATTACGAACAAATCAAGGTAATTTTATATTTCAAGAAAAGTTAACAAAAGTCATTTTATTAGATGCAAACTTTAATATTTATTTCTTTTTGTATAAATTATTTTCTATGATGATAACATTCTAAACCAGGGGTGCTCAAACGGTCGATAGATTCCTTCTGTTTTTAAATTATTATTATAAATATTGAATTCATATAAAATTAACAAATTATAAATCTTACACTGAGGATGAATTGAAACACGTTACAATAACAAACGAAACAGTTTCGCATTGGCAAAAGGAAACTTGACGATGTCAGATTTAGCTGGCTCGAGCCGCCTTCGCTAACGATTCAATTAGACTGAATTCCTTCATTACAGACTTTCAAAACTAATTGAAATAACCGTTCTATATAAATGCAACTTAATTGACATATTTATTTTCTCTTAGTTAATTAATCAATTAGTGCGGTAATAACGATATAGAAATAAAAGAAAATCAACTAAGCTTAACGTTCGTTCCTCTCTTACCATCATTTTCGATTTCGTTACCTCGTTTAATTGCAAATCATATAAATTGTAATTGCATTTAAATTTCAATTAAGTCTAATAGTAGCTTGGTAATTGCGGTTGAAACGATGAAAAATATACGAAATAAAAAAATCTTATATTATAATTTTATAGTGAACTTCATAACGAGAGAAATTAATAATAAAGTCTTTATATAATAGTAAATTTATGGTTATGTTTTCATATTTAAGTAAATTTAAAAAATGTTAATTTACAAAAAAAGGCCTTATATTTTCCGCATTTTGTTTAAATAAAGGAAATATTTTTAGCTATTAGAATAAAAAAATATAACTTCAATATGTTACTTCTACGATTACTGTAAATTTCACTGACGAAAAGGAATTAATGGAAACTATGTCAAAGTTAATTAAAATGTAACATCTAAGTAGGACTAATTAACCCGGTTTACCGGCCAATATGATTACCGAAATTACCGGTAAATTTACAATAAATACAGCTAATTTCGATATTTTTTAATAAAAATGAAGAGGAACCAAATAAAATTTCCACATTATGAGAATGAAACTCACGAGTGCCAAGGCATAAAAAAACTTTTCTTCTGAAAATGCAATATATACTAAAATTTCAACAAATCTGAGTGATAATACTTAAGAATTGATTTGTCTACTAAGTAAGAAAGAACTGCATCTGAATATTTAAAAATAAAGTACTTCGCCGGGCCTGGTCATTACAGAATAAAATTATCGATATTGGTAATACTTTATTTTTAATCATTCCAACTTTGAGCAATGAAAAGTTGCTCCTAAATATTTAAAGTAAAACTGAGATGTTATCAATAGTTTAATTATATGAAAACAATCAAACATGAAACATATATATAAGTTAGAAGTATTCAATGTGTTTTATCGTATTTCTTTAAAATTATGACAAATATTAAAATTGGAACTAAAACTATATTTTAGATTATACTTTAAAGCAGATATTTTTAAACGGCACACTGGTGAGAGAATTTTAGGTGGATTACAAAATTTATAAAAATCATTAGTTAAATTGTTTTCAAAATAAGTACACAGCACAATTAGTGCAAATATCAAAATAGAAACATTTGGATAGAAAGATCTATGGTCAATAGCTCTTTGTATCAGTTGACTTTTTTTTTATTTATATATATTTTGTGTTTTATTATTACTGTAAGCTTTTTTTTGAACGACTGATGCAATAAACATTAATATTATTTTAGAAACATCATTACAATATATGTGTGGGGCGGAATTTTAACTATATATTGAAAAACACTGCTTTTATAGAATAGAAATAATAGAAATGTAGTTCATGTAAATCAAAAAGTGTATCGTGACTAATATCGATTGATTCAATGGTAGAAAACTGGAGGAGGATAAGCAATGCGAGATGTGTCAAGAAGTGGAAAGCCGTAAATGCGGAACAATGAGGAGTGAAATTGAAAGAGCCTCCTGTTTTCGGACGTGTCGGTTGGCGTTTCGAGTCTTGGTTAACAACAAAAGAGTCCTCCGGTTTTTGGGGAAAACGTATTTATTTTTGTAACATCTGCGAGACACGGCATCTGCTCGAAGGAGGAGGAGGAGGGTACAAATTAAGGCACGAGACAAAAGGGCTGTGGATCCCTGTCTCATGTGCATCATACACCATAAATCTATATGTGTGTGTTCCAACTAAAAAAAGAAGACTACCCTGAGGGTAGGAAGGTCCGATACAGATAAGAAGCACGTAGAAAAGTGCCAGCGGATGATGGTTGGCTCTAACGGACCTGACCTAATCGAAGGAAGAACCACCGTGCGGCCATCAAGCAGATGCATTGCCCATGGTCATGTCCGAGGCAGGTTTAGGACGTGCCCCGGCATTGAAATGTCGTAACGAACACACATACAAGAGAAAATAGTAAAAATAAAGTATTTTGGTGCGAGTAGGAAAGAAAGAATGGAGAAACTAGGTACGAAAGCGAACGTGACTGTGGTTTTTGCGAAAGCGTGCCGACCGTCGTCGGCCCCCTTTTGACAAATAGTCCCGAATTCCAATAACAATGCCATCACCGTCAGCTACTTATGCGACCGACGGAGAGGAAACGAACGCATTCGATTTCATCCCTCGAGAATTTAATATCCCCAACAAAAATCCGCTTCTACGAGGGGATGAAAAAAAAACTAGTATCAGTACGCACACAAAGAGCTTCACGAAAGAAAGAAAAAATAGTAGAATAGAGAGGAACGCAGTTCGGTTATTGAATTCCGACAATTAACCGACAAAAATGTGCGCGCACAAATGAAAAATCGTTCGTGCGAATCAATTGAGGCAAATTAATAATTTGAAGAGCCGAGGATTTTTGTTGTGCGCTCCTCGAACAACAAACATACAAACAAACAAAACAAAAAATATACATCGTACAACAAAACAGCAGCGCAACGGCAGAGCAGCAGCCGTGTGTTTACAATCGGCCGGTATTTAAATGCATAAAAATGGCGGAAACGGATATTGTGTTTCCTGGTCGACTTCCGATTCCAAAATCCGCTTCGGAAGGAAAGGTGGAAACAGCGGAAGGAAAAACATGAGAGAGAGAGAAACGAGTAACGTGCGCGAAGAAAGAAAATAACATTAAAAAAGAAATGAAACGCGCCCGAAAATAACTCGACCAATATCTTATCTGCCTTTGCGTATCGCTGCTTATTCAACCTTCTTCGTCTTCTCTCCTTCTTTTTCATATTCTTTTAAAAAAGCTGAAGGAAAAAAATGTAAGGAAAGAGGAGGTGGAAGAAAAAAATACGGGAGGGAACCTTCTTCCGCTCGGCAGATATGAATATTTACGAGAACGCAATTAGCTACGTAAATTTGTAATCGAATTCAGTGCAATTACCAAAGTGCATCAGCCACTTCCTTCCTGTTTCCAGTATCATACATACGTTAAAAATACATATTTCAGATTACTTTAGTCTACCTCTATTAGCGCATATTTTAAACTGCTTACTTACCACGTAATACTTGACAAGTATTACTTGTCACTTACCTTAAGAAGTCCATTTATATTTAAATAGAGATATAGATAAGAGTTTGCATTTCTATAAAATTAAAAATATACACAAGATACCAATGTTTAAAGTCAGTTAAATATACAATTTCTAGTAAAATAATAGCAATTATTAAGTGAATAATATGTGTTTTCTTACCGCAGAGTTAAATTAACAATTAGATTTATTATAAAATTTGAAATAGTTCAAGTCCATTCGACATATTTTAAAATGCATGAAATAAAAAAAATACTCAATTTATTTTATATTTCTTTAAAACGCTACAAAAACACAATTTATGTAATTCAGGAAATCTTCTAACTATATAATTACATAACAATTTGTTGTTCATCTACATTTTACGTATGCGGAAAGGATTTGAAGAAGACATGGTGGTAAATACCGTAGTAAGTCCATCATGTCCTTGTATTTCGATGTTGTAATTTGTCATGTTATTGTTAACGAAATCCCCACGGTATTAGTAACTTTTATGATTTGATATATACATATGAATAAGATATATAACAATAAGAAATAAACAAAAATGCAATTTAATTATTAATAGTTGATATTTATTATTAATAACAATATATTATCTCAAAAAAAAAGCATAAAGCATTATAATGTGTAATTGCGATGTAATTATCAAAGTGCCAAACCCCATTTCTGATTAATTTCATTTCGCACCATCGTTGCATGTTTTAAATAATTTAATCACTGTAAGAAACTTATCAAATATTTGTTAATGCTTTAAATTTCTCAAAAACAACAATAACCAATATAATGTTTAAGCTATGAGCTTACAAATAGAATGCTATGACTATGATATCTATAATAAATTTATCAAAGTTCAAACATTGCGTTTTTCTCAAAAACCTCTATAGCAAAATTTATGAAGGATTTTCTGTATAATTAACTAAATACATTTGTATCGTTCTTGATCTTCTCGTCCTATGCAGTGTAGATTTTGTTATATTAATCCAAAACTACAATACTAAACAATTAAAATTAACGATAAAACTAT